TAATGGTGCTTGCTCCTGTGAGATTTTGGAATCTAGAAGGTCAGTGTGGTACCTTCCACCCAACTCCACAGCAGCTGTCACCTCATTCACCTACCCCAAACATGCACCTTCTCCCACTTTCTTCTCTTGGTGATGCCTGATGCTCAGGTATTAAATATTCCACTGTTATTATATATCTATGGGAGGCCTAAGTCAAATGCAAATGGTTATCTACCGTCATCATTCACAAATGTTTATTAAGCACCTACTATGCACCACAGATCATGTGAGGCTCTGTAATGCAAGTGAATTAAGTTGTAACACCTGCTCTCATGGAGCTTACAATCTAGTAGGGGAAATAGGCAACACACAGCAAACCAATATACATGATAATCATAGGTAGCAGTAAGTGCCATACAAGATATAAACAGAGGATAGGCAGGAAACACCCACTGTTTAGAGAGAAGATCAAGGCATGCCCCTCTGAGAAAGTGGTTAAAAACTGGGTTTGAAGTCTGACACCTCATTTGCAAGCTGCGTGGCCTTAGGCAAGTCACTTACCCTTTCAGAACATTTCCACATTTGTAAAATGGAAATATTCATACCAAATTCAATAAATGCTCATTAACTATTAACAATCATGAAAATTCATCAATGACTTCTATTTTATAAGTCTCTTCATGATCTATCTCTGTAAATTTCTCTTAGTATTTATTAGCAATTTTCTAGGTAAACATTTTCAGTCCTCTTTATTTGACCAATATTTCTTATTTATTTTTATTTAGACAAGGTTTTGCTCTTTCACCCAGGCTGGAGTGCAGTGGTGTCCTCACAGCTCACTGCAGCCTCGAACTGAACTCAAGTGATCCTTTTGCCTCAACCTCTCAAGTAGCTGGGACTACAGGCATGCACCACTACACCAGGCTATTTTTTTTTTTTTTTTTACAGAGATAGGGTCTTGGTATGTTGCCCAGGCTGGTCTCAAACTCCTGGGCTCAAGGAGATCCTTCTGCCTCAGCCTCTCAAAATGCTGAGATTACAAGCATGAGCCACCACACCCAGCCTATCTGGCCAACTTTAAATCAACCCTGGTGTTTCTACACATTATTTCCATGAAATCAGAGTGAGCTGCCTCATCTATGTGTTCCCATACCACCCTATAACTAACTTTTGACCAATAAAATTGCAATCTCCCTATTTCGCTCCTGTTTATACTACTGGGGTACAACTTAGGTGAGGGTGGGTACCTATGTCTTGTGTTCCAAGTACCTGACACCAAACCTGGCAAATAGGCTCTCAAACATCTGATGACTGAGACCATTTGTAAAGCCAAGAAAAGCAGCAGGAGAGAAGTGAAAGACATAGGTAAAGAGGGGAAGTCTGATAGAAAAAGGTCTGAAAAGTGACAGGAGACACAAGTCAAGGGCCCATGTGGCTGGTTGGCCATGAAGGCCTACCTCATTCACCAAGACAGAACTAAAGAGCAAAGGATGAAGGTGGGCATCGGTGGAGAAGTCATGCTGATGGACTGACTCTTCTGTTGAATTAGGAAACAAGGTCGCCTTCTGAGAAGGGTGTGGTTTGAAAAAGGCAATATGTTATGATAGATGAGAATGTGCAAAAGGAACTTTGGCCAAGTCAAGTCAAAGTACTGACAGGTGGCTGAGGGAGGGGTCTGAGAATATGATCATGGTTGTGATCATGACAACAGTCTGAGCTGGACAAGCAATAAAGAAAAACAGAAGAGGTGAAGTAATAGTAGGTGACTCTAGAGGTTCACAGGAAGAAAATGTTGGAGGTGAAGTAACAAAAAATCTCACAGGCTCTAGACTGTTGGATGAATCATTCATAAGAATGTTGAAGACATAATACAATCAGAGAATGAGAGAGTGCAAGGAACACAGACAGCCAGGAAGTGAAGACTGCAGCAAATCAAGGGAGCAATAAATAGGTGGTTACTTGGTAAGAGTAGCTGACAGTATAACCTCTTGGCATGGGCTTCAAAGGCAAAGCTGTGTGTGTTTTTCTTAAAGAAATGGGGTCTCACTACATTGCCCAGGCAGGCTTCAAGCTCCTGGCCTCAAGCAATCCTCCCACCATAGCCTCCTGATCCCACTGGTATTACAGGAATGAACAACCATGCCCAGCTCAAGGCAGAAACTTTTGACAGAGGCCTTATAGTAGAGAAGGACAGCAACTACCATCTCTAGATGTGTGGAATGTGAACACAGCCCACATGGGTGAGGGTTGCAGGGGCAGCAGGATCTCAGGTGACAGCCAAATTTGTTATGGCAAGGCGGAGAAAAGAATGCCTATTTCGCATTCAAGCATGACTTTGTTAAGTAGCTGGATGACTGAGAGTGACTAGAATATATACAGAATGGAGATGAGTGAAAATGAATATCTATGACAAGGGAGGTTTATACTTTTTAAAAGACTGTAGAAAAACCAGGGATGAGCCTGATGGACGCTTCCTTTCTGAAATCCCACACTTAACATCAATCTCATCACTGACTCAATGACTGCTCCCAAACTGCCTCCTGTCTCTGTAAATAATGCCATTACCAACCAGGTTACCCACGCTTAAAAAATGGGCTCAAAGCCCTTACTCCTGAGTCTTTGAAATGGCTTCAGTGCCAATTCCTTCCTTACTCCTGTGGCCATCATCTGAAATCAGTTCTCGTAATTCTGTCTAGATTCTCACACCAGTCTCCTATATAGCACAGTTAATGTCACTTCCATTTAGTCAGAGGGCTTCTAGGTCTAGGTTAGACTCCCTAAATCCACTGCTCATTGTAACCTTGGGAAATTTATCTAAATCTGTCTCATTTGTAAAGTGGGAACACTACCATTTTCTTTTAAAGGGCTGTTGCAAGAAATGAGAAATTCTTGGCAAGTACTCAGCACAATGCCTGTTACTTGGTAATTTTTTTTAAGGTAGGGTCTCACTCTGTTGCCCAGGCTGGAATACAGTGGCAGCATCATAGCTCTCTGTAGCCTCAAATTCCTTGGTTCAAATGATCTTCCTTCTGACTCAGCCTCCAGAGTACCTAGGACTACAGGCATACAACACATATCTGGCTAATGTTTTTTATTATTCTGTAGAGATGGGAGTGTCTTGCTATATCGCCCAAGTTGGTCTCAAAACTCCTGGGCTCAAGTGATCCTCCTGTCTCAGATCTCAAAGTGCTGCGATTATAGGCATTAGCCACTGAGCCCAGCCACGATTCTTGATTTTTGAAAACTTGATTAAAAGCCTTTGGAAGTCTGGGACCAAATCTTTTATACTACTGTATCCCACATGTACTTACAAAACACACTAAACATTTGTTAAACAGTTTGACAAAGGAATCAAAATATGAGGCATATTCTATTTTATAACATAACACCCTTTTTCACTTAAAAGAGTTAAGCTTCAAGAACACAAAATAAAGAAAGCTTTTTTAAAAAGCCATTCATAAATAAGCAATAGTGTGGGAATAATGAATGTGCTATGCCAATCAAGAAAATGCTACACCTTGAACATCTGAAGATAGCAATCTGCTTTTTCTTTCCCCACAGCTGCCCTTATAGCAAAGAATAATAAGATCTGATTGGAAACATAAAAGAATACAAAGTGAAAACAGGCAAAGCTTGCCCATTTTTGTTGTTTTTATAGTCTTACCACTTTTCTAGTTTGGGTGAGACTGCCTTTGGCTCAGTAGATCCTACTGGCTTTGGGGAGCTCAGAAAGGCCAAAATGGAACCTACAAGAAGAGGAATAAGAGAACTGGCTACTGAGGGCAGGCCCCAGGTACAAATGATTTAAAAAAGAAAAAAAAGTAACAAGATTTTTAAACTAAAAATGGAAAATGTAGTCTGACAAAATAATGTGTACTACTTTACAGTGCAAATAAAATCATGTGAAGAAGTTGGATGTCCACACGTAGGTGTTTCTGGAACATGTCTAGGAAAATCTCAGCCAACTACTGCCAAATCAGTTAGCCCAGTTCACAAGAGTCAGACGAGCAGAGGTTTTAGTGCAGCTGCCTGCATAAAGATAAAATGTTGCGTGTTCTTAAAAACTATGGCTAAAAAACACCCTACTTGTACCATTGGGGTGGAGTACAAATCAGAATAACCATTTGAAGTGATATAAATCAAAAAGTATATAAAAGGGTTCATACCCTTAATCAGAAATTCCACCTCTAAGAATCTATCCTAAGTAAATAATTTATGCACAAAGACATTCACTGTGGCATTATGAGATGCAATCCAAACTGTTAAGTGGGAAAAAGCTATACGAACAATGGCACAGCCATACAATGGAATATCACAGCTGACACATATTTTAATGATATGAAATGCCTGTAGACTGAGGGAAAAAAACCAAGATGCAAATTATACTGATAATGAATCAAACTATGTAAAAACATACACAAGTAGCAAAGAGACTGGCAAGTAAGTAATATGTAAAAATATTAAAAGTCTTTTTTCCTGGTGATAGAATTATAGGCAATTGTTATTTTTCTTTATACTTTTCTGTATTGTCTAAATTTTCCACAAAGAGCATATACTATTGACATAAACAGAAAAACAAAAACATTATTCAACCAGGCAAACATTAAAGAAAGATAGACATTTTTATATAGCTTTATTTGTTTCTTTAGGAATTGCAGTGGTTCCTAACAAAAATACGGGGAGGGAGTGGAGATTACGTATCAGTCATTTATTTGACAGGAGCATGAAACTCTTGAAAAGCAGAGAAATTCTTAAATTCTTTTCCACATGTTTCACCGTAATCATGTAGAACTATAGCAGAAAAGATGGTGATTCAGGTCGAATTGATCACCAATCTAAATGACAACTCCAAGCTCCCACACCACAGGAACCCAGGGACAGTAAATCCAATGTCAGTTTAAATGGTGTACTGCTTTACATTTTCTAAGATGAAAAGAGCTGGGAAATGATGGGAATGTCATTATGACAACCCATAAAAACGGAGAAAATCTTGCAGGAAAAAATTAAGAAAAAGTGTTTACTAAAGAACAGAAGAGTTAAAGAGCCTTTTTTTTTTTTTTTTTTAACCAATTGAAGGCTAGGGAGAAATGAAAGGCATACCTGTAAATTAAACTCATGCTTTTTTAAAATTGCCTTTACTTAAAAATACAAAAATGTCAACTAATGAATACTTTATCGGCAGACAAAAAGACAAGGTGGTTACTAAATGGTGAATGTCCATGACTGGTCTGAAGGCAGAATGTTTGAATATCAAAGTCATAAGAGTCTTTGTTCAACACAATCCAACATCTTACCTTTCTTCAAATTCCTTAAGACTGCCCTAAGGAAAACTTGTTCTATACCAAGAGTTATGGATCCACTTAATTATACTCTCTATCCCTTACCTATGCATTGTATTTTCATTCTAGCTGTTCTCAAACACATCAGATAAATGCCACATAACATAAATTTATCTCAACTGCTTCATTTGGCCTTCACAATTATTCTAGGACACATGCCAAGTATTTATACCTTCTAACCAGAAATGGAAATCAAACCCTAAAGTAGTTCACCTAAGGGTCAGAAAGTGAAAATTAAAAGCCGATCTTAGGCATGAAGTTGTATTCAGCACCAATTACACTGTCAGGAGTTACAAAAGCAAGAAAAGCCCCTAATATTTCAAAGTAAAGAAAGATAAAAATACAAGTTGGCCAAGTGATTCTAAGAGATTAATAACTGCAGTTCCTTTCCTTAAACAAGATACTCCAGACAATCACTGGTTGGCTGAAAGAATCTAAGTAACAGCTAAGAAGACCCCTCTGAAACTCCTTTTTTCTTGGTTAAGAAGAAATCTGGGCTAGCAAAATAAACTGCTGAAGTACCAGGGTCTTGGTAAAAATAATACCCACAGTAAACAAAGGATAATGGCTTAATAATCATGATGCTGCCACAAGGCCCCAAAGGCATAAAGAAAAGTACTCACCTTCAAAGATACATACACAATATAAGCACCAATTTTAAGATTATAAACTTCAAAGTGTATTTTTTAAAATGCAAGGCGCCTGTATGAGATAAATTAAAAATTTATATGTAATTTCAATGTAAAACACCAAAAATGAACATTAAAACTATTTCACAGAAAACAGCGAAAAAGGAACAAATTACAACTATAAAAGTACAGTTACCAGTTACAAGAACCAAGCAAATAAACTAATTTCTATTAATATTTTCATTTACCTTATAAAACTTTGTTCATTAAATTGGGGAGAGGGAGCCTCTTAGAATCTAAAGGGTAACAAAATAACAAATATACATCATTTCTTTATTAACAAATTATGCCACACAAAGCAAATTACTTTTTCTAACCGATTACAGAGTCAACAGAAATTGCATCTGTACTTACAGCAGCAACATAAAATTAAGAAGAAATTCTGTATCTGGACCACAAAACTGTAACACGGTTTGGAAATCTAATGACTAAGAAGGTAAAACTGGCAACTATGGTGTTACTGCTAGAGGATTCAGGGTTTGTTTCTTTTCTCCATATATTTGATAATAAGCAGCCCTCCCAAAGGGATAATACATTAAATAAGGGAATATGCAAAGAAGGGATGATGTGGAAAACCACACAAAATTAAATCAGTCCAAAAAGAGCACATGAGGGCCATGAAAACTTAAGAGGGTGTAAAACACCAAGCAAGGACAAGTCAGCTCCCTGGAGCTGCACCAACTCTGAAGTAGTACATCCTATTCTAACTGAAACTAGAGAGTTCTCACAGGGGCACTTCTGTTTGAGAAATCAATTGCTCAGATCAGCCATTTGAAGAAAAAAAAAAAAAAAGGCCTTTCTTTTTAAAGTAGATAGAGCTTAGGGAAAGCTAAACATCAGGAAAGTACTAAATCCTTGTGAAGTCAAAAATGACTTAGGAAGCCAAATGAAGCAAACTATAAAATTTGGATGAAAATGTTTAGTTTAAGAGTAAAACTCAGTTTTCTGAGTGATGTAAAATCAGATATGAAGTACGTTCTGGCCCATTCTCCCCAACCCTTCCTCACTTGAACTGAAACATTTCTAATTCTCTTTTGTGGCTTTAGTTAAAATATCCTTTAAAAAAAAAAAAGGAAAAAGAAACTTGATGGTGTCCCCATTCCTTGCTATTGTTCATATTTTCCCTACTTTTGGAAATCACTGTGGAGACTGAAATTACATTGGTACAAAATATGATCAGAGATCTAAAACATATTTTTTATGTCAGTGCTACTAAAATATGAGAAGTTTCAACAAAGATTTGTATGCTAGTCTATAAAGGGAGCAAATTAAGTTCTTAAGAAGAAAGTCAAATTTTGTTATTACCACCCCCCAAATCTCCTCTGCTGCTGCCTCCAAGCTATCAACAGTTGATAGCGTGAACAAAATTCTAATAAACATTTCAGTCACACTTTACCCCCAAAACATTTAATTCAAATGGCTGCATAGAATTTCTTTTGAGAAGGCAAGCCCTAAATTTATAAGGAAACTCTAGAATGAGAATGTACAGTTACCAAAAATAACACACATCATGTCAGGGTAAAATATGCATCATGTTCTTAAACATAATCACTACATAGAGCGGCCAAATCCCAGAACTTCACTCTGCATTCATTAGCAAACAATGTCAAAGTGTAAATGATAACCAGGAAAAAACACTAACACAAAGGCCATTTTTATCTGATGGGATCACGTAGAAAAGTGGAACTGTAGGAAGAAAAGTGAAACCCAAGCTTTGGCCACTTATGAAAACTTCATTACTTCAACGAAAGAGAACAAATCTCCGTGGAAAGGACTCATTCGGCAAACATCAGTTCTTTCCATATATTTCTCCCCTTCACATCAGGTGAAACAGAAGTTGCTGTCATTCTAGAATCAATGATTTACAACTTTTTTTAATTAGAAAAAAGTTTACTTGAATATTTACATAATTTTTATTGCTGTTTATTATAACAAAAAATTTAACTGATTTGTAGGATCCATCCATTAATGTAGGAAATTGAAATCCCTCTCTCAAGAAGATACAGTTATGGCTGAATTACTCTGATGCTCAGAGTACAGCGTAAGAAAAATCCTTGCATGTCATTTGGTTCTTGCTGCAGTCATCTGTGTTCATCTCTCAGAAAGCAAAAGAATCCATTTGACTTTCAATAAATATCAAAGTAATTGCCAAAAAAAATAGTTTCCACAGACTAGAGATCCAAGAAAGAGCAGTTTTGATGAGTAATTCCCAGAATCAAGTGCGTTGTCCTTTAGTCCAATGAGATGATGTCAGGAATGTTGCTTCCACTGCTGGTTATGACCCCTGTCTCACTCCTGCTGCTGGAGGAACTAACATGAGTATTGCTCTCATGGGGGCTGGTGGTGGTGACAGACGTACTGCTTGCTGTTAAGGGTGAGGTGAGACTATCCAAAAACATAGGAGGACAGTACTGCTTGAAACAAACAATGATGCTGATGAGGAAGAGGCTACATTGATTTTAAATAAAGAGACTAGAAATTGTTAGATATGCACAAGTGATAGCCACATACTTAAATCCCAACGGGATTCAAAAATTTCTAAAAATTTCACGTCTTTGGGTGGAAGGTGGCATGAATTTAGTTATTTTACATCATTTAGTGAATGGAGCATATTCTTGATTTTCTCAAAACTTAAGGAACTTTTTTGTTGACCATATACACAGGTAAAAAGACAAATAACGTCAATAATAACCGAAGTTATTTAATACTAAATATTGCCTTCACAAGTACAACTCATATCTCAAAAAGAATTTGCTGAGCATATTAGCTGGGGTTTAAATCACACCATAAAGGCTAACAAGTACTTATTTTTAATGGTATTAAGCAAAACTGCTAACATAAAACTCAAAAATGACAACATTCATTCCAAAACAGAGACTACATGGTACCTAACTACAACAGGATGCTCAGGACAGAGAATTATCTCATGTAATCACAAAATTTTGGAATCCTAAAGGAGATCTAATCTAATCTTCCTTGTGATGTGTAACATCGCTTTCCTAGTACTCATATTTGAAGCCCCTTACAATCCTGGTTGCTGATTCCCAAATCAGTACAAACCTGAGTGTAATACTCTAATACTGACCAAGGAGTGGAGACAGACAAGAGCTGAAAGCTTTATTTTATATCACTGTAGAATATTTTATGTGAGAAACAATTGTACTGACTTTAGCAAAGACAAATATAGCAATCTAATGCGAAAGTGGGTGTCCTAAGTTTGTTATTAGCTCAACTCCATGAAAGATCAGTAAGGAGATCTGATTCATATTATCCACTCTATATGTTATTCAGTTTATCATCAGAGACACTAAATTACAGAACAGGAATTTAAAAGTGAAGTTGTTTAGACTACATGACTTTCAGGGCCCATAAATAAAATGGGAATAACAGCCCCAGGCTTAAGCTACCTGTCAGAGTAATATAGCAACAACCAAAATTCAGGCTGCTCATCAAAAGAGTAAGTTATTTAATGTTTTAGATAGGTGTCTTGGTTTATGAATAAAATGACCACCATACACAAACAGATTCAAGGGCCATTGGTTAAGGGGGAAAAGAATAGTACTTAAAGAGCTTCTAAGGAGCTCTAAAGATAGCTGAATTGTCAGGCACTAAAATTCTTCTCTAAAAATCAAATCAATTTCTAATTTTCCATTAAAATTGGCAGGTAAATTTGGAAAAAAGCCCAGAAACTTACATTTTATTCCCACTACCCTCTAAGGCAGTTTGTGATTGCCTCATGGGAAAAATATACTGTTCCTCATTTATGAAATTAGTGCTAGATGCTACAGTCCTGCCATCAATGGGCTCTGTGCCTTGAATTCTTATAGTATTCAGATTGGAGCCATTTTACTACTAACCCTGTATCTCTTTCATACATATCAATGAGAGGAATTAAGGGGCAATGTGAAGGCAAAGGAGAAAAACCTAAGGATTCTACAGTAAGCCAAAGGCACAATAACCTCGCTCTTCTACCTACTTGTAAGTTAGACTGCCACTAAGCATGCCAAATAGAGCTATGAAATAAAAACCTCTAGGTTCTAAGATATATATATATTTTTAAAAAAAAAAAAAAAAAAGGATTGGTCACAAAAATCAGTAATAATCCTTTGAGCCTGAAGAATTCATTTCCTAGATAAAAATATGTATACACCTTTGCTGTGTGTACCTTTGTTACATCCACTGATGTAACACTGTCAACTTAGGATGACAACAAGAAATTCCTCATCTGCACAGTACCTTGGGCCCAAATTTCCAGTGATGTCTATGTGCTCAGATAACAGAACACCAAAACTGGAAGCGGACACTAGGCCTGTGGTTAACTGACTGTGAGCAGCCTGGAGCAGCCATCCCCTGGTTTTTCCTCCCTCCCTTCCTACTCTCAATACCTCGTCTCAAAAAATCTTTCTCTTTTTCACTTTTCTTATGCCTTTTCCTCCTGGGCTCTGCATCTGCTATAACCCTGTGAGTGGAATCCATGCTCACTGCAAGGTCTTCATGTTGGGACTTTGGGCTACTAGAGTTTACCGTCTTTGACAAAGAAAATAGGGATGACTGGTATATAGAAATTTTAAAACGGGGCATCCCCAAAGTCCAAATCTGACTGTCGTTAAAAACAATGAAGGCTCAAGCTAATGAGACATGTCTGTTTAATAGCTATAGGTGTTGATTTTCTATATAATAAATGTCTTATCTAAAAAATAAAATTTTACCTGTAAAATTTTATCCACCAGCCTAGCACTGCTTCCACTCATTCTAATCACTCAAATGCTTATAAGCAACGCCAAATTATTAAGCTAAATAAAATATAATTAAAAATTGAGATATTAAGGACAAAATATCATACACGGAAAACAACAACTTTATTCCTCCAAATAGAATTGTGAAATATTTATATAGTACTTCCTTTCCATCAAAAATTGAGTTGACTGTCCTGATTTTATGCAACTGGTCATTTTTAGTTATCATGACAAAACCGACAATCAAATACAAATTAGTTGCTTAAATTCAGGATACATACCTGGGGATCAACTGGAATAAGGGAAAGAAAATCCAAACCTAAAACAAAAATGCTTTGTTAATAGTTGTCTCATATTTGGAGACCAGAATTATTTCCCAAAGTCATTTTTATTTATCATTAAGTCACAAAACATTTGGGGTGTTTACCACTCTGCCACAAGTAAGCTCTGTACCATGATCAGTGATATTTAATGCGTAAAAAACCCAAAGGTGAACATATTCCCTGACAAAACAACTGGGAAAAACCACCTCCCAGAGACTCAAAGGCAGCAGTCCAAAAATTTTCAGAGAATTAGGAATAGTCAAAGCAAATGTCCCCCTTTCCTCTGTCACTCAGAATTAGAAGCAATAAAAATAATGAGATGATGATCTGGATTCATACCGTTAAAAAAAAAAAAACATACTTAGGCTCTTAAAATACTTCACATTTATTTTTCAGAAATACACCACAGTGAGGTTCATCTAAATATTACTTCTTAAACAGCTATTTCATAGATAGCCCCTGTTCCCACATCAAGAGCAGTACATCGTCCAGAGCTCTGCACAAAGCAAGCACTTGGTAAATGCTGCTAACAGGCTGATGTTATCATGGCTTACTGGGTTCTAAACTAATATAATTTTCTAAAACAAAGCAATTGAATTTTCTAATTATGTTTTAGAAACAAGAATGTGAAAAAGGTTGTCCAGTAATCTTATTTTGAAGTATTAAATAACAATAAATACAAAAAACTTCTGGTTTGAAAAGTTTAGCAATAAACTTCAAAGTCAGTTTCCCTAGATCTCCCTGTATGACTAAATTTTCAATTATTTCAAACATTAAAAAAGAAACCACGTACTAGGTATAGGTCATTAAGACAGACCAATTTTTGTTCAATTCCATGAGTTTTTATGCTGGCATTCAAGGTCAACCCAAACATAACCACCACACAGAGTTAAAGTCTGATATACTTTTACTTAAAATAGAGAATATGAGTGGGGACATTTAAAATAATTTAATAACCAGTATGAATAATTTATAAGTCAAAAATTTTAAATATTTATTCCCTTATAATCTCTAAATAAACGTATTACAAAAACACCTTCTCTAGGGATACAAGCTGTAGCACCAATCATTTGAAAGAAATCATTCAAATGATTTCTAAAGTACTTTTTAAATTGTCACTCTAATTTTTCATTTTGTATGCCTGTCGCTAGTTATATGATACAGCGATTTGGGCCAACACTGGACAAAAAGAATCACAATAAACATTTCCAATGATTCCTCCATTAAAATGATAATCAGTACAGTGAGATAACTCTATTAGCAGAGAGTGTCTCTTAACATTAACAACACTGTTCAATAAATCCTCTCTCTGCTTCTGCTAAATAGTAACTCAAGATTTGTCTAGCCCTTATAATATCTTTTGGGAGCTTCATATATTCAATATTTCTATTATTGGCTAAGTCATAAAAGGTTTATTGGAATGTTAATCAACTTAATTATTTTGTTTTGCTTCAAATGCTATAACATTTTTCTTCATTTTTTAACAGCTTCTACATTTTTTATAGTTTTTCAGTTTTATATGTTCAATCACTTTTAATGTTCGTTGTATCACTCCATCTGTATTAATAACAAACTATTTTTTTATAAAGCTAAGTATTGACAGCTCTGTTGAAATATTATGTACTGAAGCCAAATTACTCAAAAGCACTCATTTTCTAAATGTTTAACTATTCCTATTTCATAATTTCAACTAATATAAATATAGGAGCTTGATATGATTTTCTGGTTTTTGCAGTTCTATCACTAAAGCATGTCCACCAAGGTCCAAAGACTCCCTATTTTATAATTATTTCAATCCAGCTCTTCAGTTGTACTGTAATTCTCTTTAATGATTTCATGTGTTCCAGTAAACATAAAGTTTATTTAGAAAAGATCTAAGAGATTTATCTGTATCTTTTGATATTTCATCCATGGATGACTTATACCACATTGTAATATATAAAATACCTAGAAATTTTTCTAAAATTTTGGTTGAAACTCTAGATTGTCTTTTCCAAGTATTACATGGGTGCAGTCAATACAAAATACAATAAGGTGTTAATGTAAACTATTTTTTCCTCAAATACTTAACAGTGAAGTTTTATATAGTATTTCAGATATTGTAATATTCTAATAAAAAACTAACCTACCAAAGTACTCCTGCATTCTACATTTTAATATTAAAACTCTTACATGAAATAAATGAAATTTTATCAACAGTGATTAAAATTTTACTGCCTTGTTTCATAAATTTAGCAAAATGCTGTTCTTATTTCACCGTAAGTTTCAACTGCAGCATGTCATATTGATATATTTTTATGCCCTCCTAAGTATTTCATCATTGAAAATACTCAATTATTTTAAACTAAGAAGCAGGTGGTATTAAAATTTCTGATATTACATTCTAAATGTTTTTGTTTTATTAATAATACACTTGATAAAATTATAATTTTTAAATTTTAAATGCTTCATTATGTGAAACTGACTCAGTTTGTTCCCTCATTGATGACAACACATTTTCCTTACTTGAGCCATAAACTTTTAACAAAACATAATTGCTACATGATTAAATATGTAAATGTTTAGCACTTTCAAATTTTAATGATACAACTTTTGAGCACCATTCGCACCTGACAATATGGCACTAGCAATAATAAGGCAGTCATATTTTTCTTGAAATAATCAAGCTGTTTTCCATTCCATAAATACAAATTATTTGTTTTATTTTGTATTCATTGTTGCACAGTATCAGAAGATGTTCCAAGCTGCAGTTCATTATTAATATCATTTCTTCTTTGTTCTCCTGCAGATTCAGAAGATTCATGTTTATGATGTTTAAAAGGAATGTTAAGATATGTATTAAAACTTTGTTATCTCTCCATTCTTGGTGTTCTATTTAATATTGTATTATTATAAGTTATTAAATTTAGCAATACCAAAACTCTCCACAGTATGATTAATTATGCAAAAATATGCACAAAAATAAAACCAAAGTAATTACTAATTACAAAAGAGTACATTATCAAAAAACAAAAATAAAAACTATTGAGATGTAGTAACATAATTCATAGATAACGATAAACTAGCAGTTCTTCTAAAGCACAACAGATCCTATTCTACTTACTTTATCAACTGCAAGAAAGCTTTTCAACATTTTAATAACCAATATTCACATATGATTAATATCAGCCCTGGATAATAGTCTTATTTCCTCAATTCCAGCCTGAAATGCATTTTACCAAAGACACAGAGTTCAGACATATTTTACTGCATTTTTCTCAATCTGCACATTTTTAAAAAGAAATTAAGTCTCAATTTACACCCAAATTTTGCAATAATATAAATTCTCCCAAAATAATAATTCATCCAGATTCATACAATTTGAAAATTAACAGGACAAATGATTTGTAAATTTATGTCTATGTTATTGCTAAATGGCAAGGTCATTATTCTAATAAACAGAAATGTTCATGCTCCTTTTTCAGGATTAATTTTTAATTCAATGTCTTTAGGAAACAAATCCTTAGGAATGCTTATTTATAATACCTATTAAGATGACATATGGACACTCTTCAAACTAGCCAAGGTTAAAGCAATGCATGACAGTTAGAAATTAATAATCTCTGAGTTTCCATCTTTGTCATGGACCACGAAACCTCATCTGTACCTTAGCATTAGGCTTTGTATACAACAAATAGTGGGCCAGATAACCCAACTGTCAACTGTTTCAATAATACAACTTTCATAAACAGTTTAAGTATTGTGCTTAAAATAAAGACCTACCTAAGGGGAGAAAGAAAAATAAACCATAGGTCAAAATCAACTTTACAAATTTACAAAACAAAAATAGTAACAGGAGGAAGGAATTGTATTCCACTAAATAGGCCCTTTGGAGAAATGGGAAATAATATAAGCAGCACTGGTCCTAAATTGCTCAAATTTGATTGACAAAAATGTTTGTGAAAACAATGGCTATGAAGAGAAGAAAGAAGAGTAAAGGTGGGAAAAGTTTAAACTTTATAATATGGCCTTGGTAGCATAAGTACTGATATTAAAGTAAGTCAAGCAACCTTGGATTTTTTAAATGTTTAGTTATTTATACAGTAGTCCTCCCCTAATCAAGGTTTCACTCTCCATGATTTCATTTACCTGCAGTCAACTGCAGTCAGAAAATATCAAATGGAAAATTTCAGAAATAAACAGTAAGTTTTAAATTGCACACTGTTCTGAGTAGTCTGATGAAATCTCAAGCTGTCCCACTCTATCCTGCTCCATCCCGCCCAAGACACAAATCATTCCTTTGTCTAGCAGCTCCCTGCCCTTAGTCACTCAAGTAGCCATCTGGGTTATCAGATCTACTGTCATGGTATCATAGTGCTTGTGTTCCAGGAACCCTTATTTTTCTTAAAAATGGCACCAAAGCACAAGAGTAGTGATGCTGGTATACTAACTGTTCTATTTTATTATTGTTGTTGTTAATCTCCTACTGCGCCCAATTTATTAATTAATCTTTATCATCGGTATGTATGTATAGGAAAAAACATAGTATATAAAGGGTTCTGTACTTTATATACTTCTGCAGTTTCAGGCACCCACTGGGCGTCTTGGAATGTATCCCCCATGGATAAGGGAAGACTACTGTAGATATAAAAGATATCCGCATGTATTAAGCTCTGCTCTAGGGAAACAGACGGTAAACCCTATCTTTACAGGGAGAATAAAATCCACAGGATAAAGCTGGTAGATAAAATCAGCTCCAACCTATATCAGTATATTCTGGAGTTCTGACAGGCCACCAAGAAGAGTATGAGAAAATACTCTTCTTTCCCCTAACCTGTGAAGGGTCTATGATAAGTAAACTGAGAAACAGTCTCTAAATACAAATCCTCTACAAGGGAAAATAAAATGGTTAACATTTTCCTACAATTCTTCTGTATTTCCTATCATTAGGAATCTACAGAGCAACAACTGCTCTATAGTTAAAATGGTAACAACTGAATGTGATGTATTAAAACAGATATGATCTTTAAATGAAGCCTTCAAATTTCCTTAGCACTTAAATCTTACAATTTTGAAACTGTACTTGCTCCACAGATTAAAATTAAAAATAATAAAATTTGATTAAAAAATAAAAAAAAAACTCTCCACATACCTGGCAAATCTGATGGCATGCTTGATATTGGCGTGTGGTGGAATGGTACTGAGTAGTCTGTTAATGAAGGCGGAATAGCAGCAGGATCAACCGAAGTCACACTGGGCACCCTTACAGAAGATGGCTGATACATGAGAACCCTGTTTTAAATAGCATGGGAAATTACAAACAATCTGGCTGTTAGTTCACAGGAGAGAAGAGCTGCACCACTGGGCATACTCAGTCGTACGTTCACTAGTTTCAGCTACTCACTACACAGCACTCCACTCTACTCTCCTCTTTCATAACAGTCTTCATTTTAACATGAACGTATCTTGGCTCTCAACAGCAGCTGTGACACAGAGCAAATTGACATTCAAACACACTGTACAGTGCTGGAGTAAGACAGAACACTTTCATCCACAAATAGAAATATACTTTATATACACTTATTAGCGTATGTGTAACATATATGTAGATATTACTAATTTTATCCATAAAGAAATTTAAAACTAAAACAGAAGATTCCTAAGGTTTGATTTAAATCTGGGCTTCTTTATGAGTAAAGCTACTCACTATAGCACAACCAGAATTTCTTCAATTCTAATTGAAATTGTATTAATTATTTGCAATCTTATCTGGAATCATCTGAGCAAAGTTACCCAATCCGAAAGCGAGCCAACCTGATGGCAATAGGCCACAATCAGAAATGAGAATAAGATGACTATCAAGATTTAAGATATAATATCCAGAAATAAAGATGTTGGCTACCATGATACCACCTACCAGGTGGGTGAAAGAGGGTTTATAACTTTGAAATTATCTGTACATGCTACTAAAAATACAAATTAAATACACATAAGAAAGATTTTATAATTGGTATTATATAAAAATATATATACTGTAGAATTAAAACTTTATAATTTCAATACGCAGTACAATTAAATATGTTTTTTAAAAGGTCAGGCTTAAAAGATCTCTGCTTTCTTCCTCTTTAATCTTCATTTTCTCTTAGCCCAGGGCGAACAATTACAATCTCAGAGAAAAAACATCGTGAATGTGTAAGAAGAAATTCAGCAATGTTACTGACCCTATGGCTGATGGTGGCCATCTTGCCAACAAGTAATGAGATGAGAACAGGAGCAAAACATTAAGGTTAGCATCCCAAAGCACTGTCAGTCAACTATTGTAAGCTTAATGTTTGAAGCACAGAATTCTGTAGCTAGAAGGGACAATTACAAAGACAAAGAAAGCACAAGTGTATCTTAGAAAACTCTCAGTAGAACCATGGTCACAAAGCTAGACTGGGATGGCAATCTCTAGACATCCTTTCCCTTTCCTGTTATTGTTCAGATTATTAAACACTAGTAATAAGAAATGATGACATTCTTTATTCTCTAAATCATGGACAAACTTATTTCATAACCTCGATTTGAATGTCAAACCACTTAAATAATCACAATCTACTGAGACACTGGAGTCATTCTAAACTTGGTTTGCATTCTGGGATGAGAAATGTGGATGTCACTGGAAATGTGGAAAACAAAGTCATCTTAAGAGTACATATAAGGTTGTGTTGGCAATTATGTTTGTGTCAGAAAAGTTAATAAATAACAGAGGTCAGAGCTCAGAAATCTTTGATTAAAAACAGATCCATTTAGGAGGCATATGACATACAATATGTTCAAGGAATAACATAAGCCTGGCATCTCAAAACACATCTTTCAGAGGTAGATGAAGATAGAAGGAAGTAACCTTACAAAAATCAACCTGTCTGGGTTAGAATCAGGAGGTTTCTTGGCCTCTGATCTACTAAGGACCTAAAACCAAAACAGGATGTGAACAATGTTAGAAAAGGCAGATTTAAGGGAAAAGAGAGAACTTGGGATGAGATGAAGAAAGTTATGTTGCACGTAAAGCTCAGCTTTTTGGGGAAGGTTTGAAAACAGTGGTCTACCAGGATCAAAGTAGAAGAACAGGAAATTACCAAAAAGTGTTTTCAAATGACACATGAGCATGTATGTGCTTCCATACAAGAGCACCTATCATAAATTGAGGGAGGAACACAGGGGTTAAGGAGGACGAGACTGTATGTGTGAGTGCTGGGGAAGGGGCTAAAGAAGTGACTATGCTTATTCTGGCTGTCTCACAAAATATTTTAATCTATTATTTTTTAATGTTAATAGACAAGATTTTAAAGACCAAAAAGTACATAAAGTTTCATTTAATTTAAAAAGTTTCTACTTAAAAGTTTATTTAATCTATTGCTTTTTCTCTGCTTAAAGAAACTAAAAGAATTTCAGGTACAGGAAAAAGACAATGTCTGTCCTCCTCCCACTCCCCTCCCTCTTCCTTTGATATTTCATAGTGGAGACTTTCTTTTGTCTTGATCCTGAATTGATCCTTCAACTTGAAATATACTTACAGGTAACAGCAATAACAAAACTCCCTTTCCTTCCTTAACCCCTTGCCTTACAACTACAGAGGAGTCAGTCAACATCCCCACACACTTGTCTGCCACCACAGTTAACACCTAATTATTGCACATGTCCTGTCTGCAAAGCAGCATGAAAATTTAAATGATTAAATAATCATTTAATTCTTCAATACCAAATGGTGAATGTTAAAACCTATGTAAATGTCAAAATACAATACGGGTATAAATTAGTAAGTCAACATCTAAAACCTCAGAAAACATATGAAAAGCTAAACATATGAACAGCTAACACGTTAATTCCTGTTACCTGAACTTTGCAACCATTAACACAAATTCAAGTTTATATAGGATGGCTGAAAATAGTCATTAATTAGGATTATCAAGTTACATACTGGTAGTAGATTTTTATCAGAATCTTCACAAGGACCACATTCAGAAATGAAATGATTCTAAAACCTATGCAAAAAAAATGTATTTACAGATATAACAGATTCCATGGAGAAATGTAAATGGCTATGTATGGTGGAATTATCAGTACAAAAATGTGATGCTATAAAGTAGTAAATTTGTAAAAACATTTAACATTTATTATTGTTTCTTCATAGGATTGGCAAATATCCACACAGGCATATATATATATATATATATATATATATACACACACACACACACACACACACACATATATATATTCCAAGTATACATATGTATTTTAAATTTTTATAATTATCCATAATATCACAGCAAAAGTAAATTTCTAGAATGTTGCTATAGCAAATATTAGTATTCTAGATTGTGTACTGGGTCAAAGAATTGCACATAATTCACATATGGCACAGACTTAGATGTCTGAAAAGAGATTTGACAATTTTTATTCATAAACCTGAAGTTCACTGTGCTCCTACTTCATGATCATAAAAGTATAAAAAAGATTCATATTTATCCCTATTCTTTGTTTCCTATCCTCCTTGTTAATGACAAAACAACCATTCAATTTCTAGGGAATAGGAGTAGGAGCATAATATGTAAAATTATCTTTCAATATAGAAAAACATCAGAGATTTTCTAAATATCTTAGATTAACGTATCAGTTTCTTCTAAAAGGTCTTGTAAGACTGCATTTAAAGATTCCAACTGGCATGCAAGGAAAGGTGCTAGGATTGCCATCAAATGTTAACAGTCATTCTCTCTAGGAGAGTTATTTTTCAATTTCTTCTTGGTGCTTGGTCAAACTGTTTATAAGAATAATGTTTACTAAAACAATGTACCTTTTAAAAAAAAATAGCAACCCACATAATTTCTGCACTATAAATTAAAATAGGTTTTGTGATTTCTCAGTCTCTATTCTTTCTCATTTGCTTACTATCACTGACCAGGAAGTCATGTGATGAACATACACAGCAGTGAAAAACAAAAATTTCCAGATGCTGAGCCACAATAGAGGGTATGAAAAGGACAACCAGGAACAAAACAACAAAAGCTTGAGAGAGGAAGGGATCAGAGAGAAGATATAACAGCAGCATGAACCTCCATTATGACACTGTAACAGGAGGCAGCCACTCTAATTCAACACAGAAAAATGTGATTTTAGTATAAAACATCAACTTTCTTAGAGTTAAAAGGCTCCAATAGAAAGTTTTTCCATGTATCTTTCCTCCACTGAATCTAAATCTGACAAATGCTATAACAAAGACACACTTAATCCTACTTGTCAATGACTCCCTTTTAAGAACTACAAGTTAGCTATCACATATTCTCTTCTTCTACCTTAACAGCTTCCGTCCTTAGACCCACTACTCACCCATCATGCTCCAGGTTCTATAGTCACCTTCCAGTTCTTCTGCTCTGGCTGCACACATTTGTTACGACCCTTCTTGATGATAGCACTGACTAAAATGCTCTGAGAGCCATACAGCCTAAAATGGAAGCCATACAGCCTGACACAGGCTGTGCTTTTTTTCTTAATGATAAAAACAAATCGGCTTAAGTGATGAACCCTTCAAACCATTAAGGTAACTCTGACATTTCAAAGAGTTTCTATCAGGAATGGCAATTTATCTGGCATCCATTAAGATGACTATAGTGTTGTTCTTGTGACAAGATCCATTTTATCAATGTATTTCCCAATATCAAAGCACACCTAAGATAAACTCTACTTGGTTATAGTGGATATTATTTTAATATATAATTAAATGATTTCCTAAGACTGAAGTCAGAATTTTCATTTATCTCTCTATGTGAGCCTGTTTCATAAAGGTTCTTCTCTGTGGATGTTGACATGTAAATCGAGTTAGGGTATTAAGGTTATGTGGGCTTCATGGAATGAGCTGAAGAGTTGCAATTTATACAAACTTTTTAAATCAAAACTTTCATGAATTGTTGGGTTAGTCACAAATTTCTACCTTATATTAAATACTTACGTTTTGACTTTATTTTCAACCTAGGTGAGGAGCTATATGCTACAGTAGCTGACCATAGGTGAAACTTCTCTTATTCCTCTGCATTCTGAGGTCATTTCAGGTTTTGTCACCCAATGTATGTGACATTCTTTCAGATTTGTGTCCTTATTAAGTATTGATAAAAACATGGTAAAGGACAGGCAGAGGGTAGACCATCCTGACATGCCACCAGGGACATGTTCCAAGATCACTTCAACTTATGAGTCAGCACTACTACATACAATCTTTCAACCCAGCATGAATCCAATTAACTATAATACTTGCAACCCATGCTTTTCCAGTGTATTCTAAAGGGTATCATTTTGGTAAAATCTAGAAATACCAGATCTAAGCATTCATTACCCTGGTTTTCCATCTCAGTAAGCATATCAAAATTATATTTTCATTTTGTTTATTATTTATACAAGTACCAACCAAACTGTCTCAAGCAAAAAGTGACCAGCACACCAGAAAAAAAAACCACTTGAAATACTTTCATTTTCTGTTCCACTAAGAAAACAAATTTAAAAACTCATTCTAATTAAATAGGTAAAAGAAAATATATGACCTATGATGTTTAAATCCTATCTTGAAATAAATGTTTTAACAATGAAGAAGGCAACTCAAAAGGTTTAATTCTTAAAAGTAATTACAAAGTAGTTTCAAAGTAACTATAAAAAAACTGAAAACTGAATGTTGCAAAAGTACACAGAATTCCATTTATATAAAATGCCTAGAACAGGCAAATTTATAGAGATGAAAAGAGCAATGATTGCCTAGACTTGTGGTATGATTCACAATAAACTACAAAAGAACATGAGGGAAGTTTTTTGGGTGTTGGAAATATTCTACAATTCAATCATGATGATGAGTGTACAACTCTTATGAATTTATTAAAATCAGTGATTGGTGCTATTGTGTACTTAAAATGGGTGAATTTTATGCCATGTAAATTATACCTCAATAAAGGCATTAGAAAACTAAGTGCATTGAGAGGCCAAAGAGATGAAACTAGCACACCCAAGTTTGAAAGAATGTATTCACAGGCTGTCGACTCCCTGCTCCTGCCCCCTTACTTCTATGCATGGTCCCAAATCTGTATGTAAAAAGCACCTGCTGCTAAATACTCAGACCTGTCTTTTACTATAGGCCAGTAATGGCTTCTCCCAGATAAGTCATAAAGAACTCATGCTAGAATGCATCTACCTGCCCATATTTTGTCCTGGAGAGGGTAAGAAGAAAAGATAATCAATTTTTATTGAGAAATTACCATGTGCCTGACACTGAGGCCAAATTCTTTCATAATCTCATTGAAAACTGACAATAATCCTATAAGATAGGCATTATTTAACCTCATTTTACAGAACAGAAAAAGGAGGTTCAAACAGGTATTTCACCCAGGACCACAAAACAAGTAAGCAATACTATCAAAAGTGGAATCCACACTTATCAGATTCCCAGTTCCATACTCTATTACAGTTACGCCAAGCTTTCTTAAGTTGGTCTGAGATGCCGAATTTCCTTACAAATAGGTTCAAGAAAATAACAAAGTATCAAGTAAGAAATAAATACCTCAAACTCTCACTTTCCAAAGATGTAAATATTCTGTTCATCGAAATTTGTTTTCCTATAAACCTGTGGTCCCCAACACCTGGGCCACCAACCGGTACCGGTCCGTGGCCTATTAGGAATCAGGCCACACAGCAGGAAGTGAGCAGTGGCAGTGAAGCTTCACTTGTATTTACAGCCGCCCCCCCAACACCCCCATCACCACCTGAGCTCCACCTCCCCTCCCTGCAAATTCATGGAAAAATTGTATTCCATGAAACCAGTCCCTGGTACCAAAAAGGTTGAGGGTCACTGCTATAAACAACATGCTTACTTTAAAATATTTCTGCTGAACAAAGGCAAATTAAAATAGCCTTCTACAGTCATGCACCTTCTCAGAGACATTTACGAACCTATCCAAGAACAATTAGTTAGTTGCAAATGTAACAAACAATAGTGAACTATAAATTAACAAACCCTTTGGTTGGGCTGCTTTGTGTTTCTGACATAAAGATGCATTTCCTTTTGGCAGGAGGGTCTTCCTCTTCATCAGAAGAGGTTTCTACTGTTAGGTCAATAACATCCACTTTCTTCTTACTTGCCTCACTGGCTACAGTCACTGAACAAGGCTTACTGAGGACACTTGAACCTGCATGTAGGGAAACAGAAGGGGAAAAAAAAAAATCAAAGGTATAACACAAATAAACTCTTGCCATAGAGTCTCACCTGTGCAGTATATCCATGACAATATTCAGCCGGTGAAGCCACATACTCTGTCCCCTGGAAAGAATCCAACTCCCTAACTCCAGATCTGTCTACAAAATGACTGCTCACTGGGGAGACAGGTAAGCTCTAGCCCTTGATGGAGGGTCAAAAGTCTTCCTCAAAGAGCATGCTCTTAGTTATCTCTAGGATTGTCAATGGAACTGTGCAGATCCTGCTGCTTGCCCTGTCTCCCCAAGTCAGCATTTCACAGACACCTGGAGTTAGGGAATTGGTCAAAGGCCATGGGACAAGAATATGTGTATGGTTTCATTAGATGTGTATTCTCACAGACATGTGGCACAGTTTAGTCAGAATTAGCATTTCCATTCTAGCAATCATGCTCATGTCAAAGAATGTACAGACTCACCATAAACCAAACCTTGATAAAAAGCTTCACTTTAAGTTGAAAAAAACTCAGACTTCACTTCTCACTTAAGTTACTCAGACATTTAAAGCTTTTCTTATGAATTATCTACTAATCATTATCTATTAGGTTCTTTCTGCACCCTAAGATAGTCTCATACATCAAATGTTAACTCACATTTTCATAAAAACTGAGTATATTATTTCCTGTAATCTAATCAGGAGTAATCCTGTGAATATAATATTTCCTGTCATCTATTCAGTCAAAAATGAATGGCAGTTGATAATGGAGAAGCAGTAGCAACTTCTCAAATCACTCCTTAGTTTTCTGAAAGATGAGGGAAACCATGGTCATTGCACTCTCTGGTTCAGTACCAATCACAGAGGAATAATTAATACTGGCATAAATCCTTTATTTTTTTCCTTTCTTCTTACTCTGATAATCTATTATTCATTACTTTCTTTGTTAGAACTCCAAATACAGTTAGAATAAAATTCAAATGCAGTGAGTAGTGTTAGATAAAAAGAAACTGTAAGTTCACCTATGGGTTTCATTTGTTCAAACTGCCCTCAGTTGACTCCACTCATTGTGGACAGATGTAGGGAGTTCATGTATGAGCACAAATTCTAGGTGACCAAGGCAATGGTAAAATTCCTTCCCACAAAGAAATGGAAGTTAATAATTCATTCACTTTCTAAGCAACTAACCTGTGGCCACTCTTCCCACCCCTCAAGTCCATTAATCAATGATGCAGCCTTTCCAACCACACCTCCAGCTGGGATTCCACCTACAGATACTCTAAAAACACTTCTGAAAAATTATCCATATAAATATCACTTGTGACTTTTCATTTTGTAACAAACATATCAAAATGACTTTACATGATTGTTTCATTTATTTTACATATAAAAATATACAATGAAAAGGCTGATAAGGTGGTAAAACTTCAAAACATTTCTTCAGGAAAGAATAAAAATCAATTGTGGGGGAAATTACATATGGTCAAAAGATGAAGTTAGCAAAGTGAACTCCAAATGTAGTTCTAGTGGCCAAGATTAATGATAAAGATAATGCTGCACAAGTCTCATTGCTTTGCTCTCTGCTACCATTCTGTACATACTTTCTATTTTTGTACACGGTTGGCTGGATACTTTCATAGCTTCTTTCTTCGGTCTCATTGGACACCAAGAACCGTCTTCTTGGAATTTGATCTCATCCACATCAGAACAGTCATTGAGAATTTCCATAAAAAGCCTATAAACCAATTAAGAAGTACATACATGTAATCAATGGCTTTGTTCAAAAACATGAACTGAGAAAGTAATACATATTACGCCTTGGAAACAAAGGTAATGCTACCGTTTTTTTGGGGGGGGGCAGTTATTTCAATACTTCATACTTTACAACTACTATTATACCTCCTTCCTCTCAGGGTTTACATCTGTAAAAGGCAACACTAGAGTAACTGACTATCATCTAAAATATCACTGGCTAAACAGAAGTAGACCTTGGAGTCTCTAGCTGGGATTGGTGGTAAGAACAACTTCTAACACAGCACATATAGCAAACATAAGCAGACAGAAGTTATTATACAATAAAATAATTTATAAATTTAGTATCAAGAAAAAAGAATCATAGGAGTGGAAGAAAGAGCAAGGAATAAAAGGAGAGATGAACAGAATTACAGGAGTGGGAGAAACAGCAAGGAAAAAAGGAGAGAGGAATAGGGACATAAGAAGTATCAATAAATTTAAATTAAGCAAAGTATACAAATTATGTTATATGACAAAAATGGAATTAATTTTGAAGTCAGTATCAGAAAAATATACGAAAAATCCATAAATACTTAGAAACTAAACAAAACCTATTAGTCAAAGACAAAATAAAACAGGAATTAGAAAGTATTTTGAACTGAATGAAAATGAAAATATAATTAAATTTGTAGACAGTAACTAAAGTAGTACTTATAGGAAAATTTATAGCACTAATCTTTCCCTATTAGAAAACAAGGTCTCGAATGAATAATTTTATGAAACTAGAAAAAGAGCAAATTATAGTGAAAATAAGCAAGAAAAGGGAAATAAAGAACAGAAACAAATGCAATAGGAAACAAAAAGAGAAAAAAATAAAGAAAATGTCAATGGAACCAAGTCTGGTTCTTCAAACAGATCAATAAAATTGAGAAAATTCTAGTCAAATTTAGAAAGTACATACTTTATGATTCCATTCACATAAAATTCTAGAAAATCTAAACTAATCTATAGCAACAGAAAATGTATCAGTATTTGCCTGAGGACTGAGTGAGAGGGACAGATTAGAAAGATATATGAGAAAAGTTCGGGTGTGATGGGTATGTTCATGATCTTGACTGGGGTGATTATTTCACAGGTATATAAAATAGGTAAAAATGTATCAACTTGTACATTTTACACATCTGTAGTTCTCATACCTCAATAAAGCTGATAAAAATAAGTAAAAATGGAAAAATATGCCTCCTTCATAAGAAGATATTTATTTTCCCCAATTACACTGAAAATAGCATAATTCCAACCAAAATCCAAAAAGAATTTATTTTGTATAATTTAAGAACACTTTTATTAAAGAGACTATGGCAGGCCAGACATGGTGGCTCACACCTGTAATCCTAGCATTCTGGGAGGCCGAGGCGAGGCGGGAGGATTGCTCGACATCAGGAGCTTGAAACCAGCCTGAGCAAGAGCGAGACCCCATCTCTACTATAAATAGAAAGAAATTAATTGGCCAACTAATATATATATAGAAAAAATTAGCCGGGCATGGTGGCACATGCCTGTAGTCCCAGCTACTCAGGAGGCTGAGGCAGGAGGATCGCTTGAGCCCAGGAGTTTGAGGTTGCTGTGAGCTAAGCTGACGCCACAGCACTCACTCTAGCCTGGACAACAAAGCAAGACTCTGTCTCAAAAAAAGAAAAAGAACAAAAACAAAAACAAGAGACTATGGCAGAATATATTGATACTAGTCCAAAAAATTCTGAAAAGAAATTGCCTAAAAAATATTAATGCATGATAGAAATCCAACAATTAAAATAGTTTTGTACTGGCCAACTAGTACTTTGATCAATGAAACAGCAGTTCAGAAAGTAACACCACTATTTATATAAAAAGGTATTAATGAGATTACTCAATAAATGTTGTTGAGACTACTAGCAACTTGTGGTAGGGTGGGGTGATCCCTACCTTAATGAGATCACCTACTCCCTACCCTAAAGTTTCTTCCCCCTCCTCAATATGCCTAGCATAGTGTTATTCTTTACCTTCATAGCACTTGACACTTAATATTCAAATTTCTTACTGTCCCCCACATTAGAAGTGCTCTGTTCACCATTTTAGACCCAGTATCTGACACATAATAGGTATTTAATAAGTGTTGTGTTGAATGACTTCATGAAGCAATCAATGCATGATAGAAGAACTGCACAATTAGAAAAACACAAAATCATAAATGTATGTGATAAAAAATAAGTGAATGTTTCTATAAAATCTCTAGGACTTTGGCCAGGCGCAGTGGCTCACGCCTGTAATCCTAGCTCTCTGGGAGGCCGAGGCGGGCAGATTCCTTGAGGTCAGGAGTTCAAAACCAGCCTGAGCAAGAGCGAAACCCTGTCTCTACTATAAATAGAAAGAAATTAATTGGCCAACTAATAGATATAGAGAAAATTAGCCGGGCATGGTGGCGCATGCCTGTAGTCCCAGCTACTCGGGAGGCTGAGGCAGCAGGATCACTCGAGCCCAGGAGTTTGAGGTTGCTGTGAGCTAGGCTATTGCCATGGCACTCACGCTAGCCTGGGCAACAAAGTGAGATTCTGTCTCAAAAAAAACAAAATCTCTAGGACTTTCTAAACACATTAAAGACAGAAATCGAAAAGCAAAAAACAGACTTGAAGTCAAAATGTAAAGCTTCTGAATGAAAAAAAAAATAGTCACAGTAAGTACAATTAAAGGCAAAAAAGCTGAACAACTTTACAAGATGGAATTAATAATTTTAATCTTTCCATTAATTGTATTTTCTAATTCTAACAGTGGTACACAGATGACATATACAATTTTTTAAGAAGTGTTATTTGAAAAAAAGGATATCTCACACTTACTGAAAATAAGTTCATACCATTTTCCAAATTTCAACATGTACAACGAGATGAGAGATGATGCTTAAGAGAGTTTGAGCTCAGGAATCATAAAAACCTGAGCATGAATTCCAGTTTTGAACTTCATAGCTATGTAATACAACTATGATTTCCTCTGGTATTTTTGCACAGACCCTACTTGCTACTTCAAGAAGTTCTAGCCAAGCAAAATGACAACAGCAAACAGATTTTTCCATTTTCTATGGACTCTATAAAATCTGATCTTGGGATGCAAAAATAAAAGGAAACTACACACCCTCCTGCCCTCAACACAAATCATATTGTAAAGATAAAAGGGTCTTTAACCACGGTTTAAAAAATAAGATTGATTATAATCATGCATAAAACAGAAAACATACAAACATCTGGACTTTATGCTAGCATAGAATTGATATTAAACTGTACTAAACAAAGACATAGCCAATAGCTGTTAAAAGCGACATACTTACCCATCTAATATTAGACTTTCATAGGCAGCTTTTTTGTCACACACAGGACAAATCCAGGTAGGCTTCTTCTCATTCATTTGTAGATAAAGGGCAGCATCAAAACACTGCAGATGCGTACAAGTCACTGCACGGCATGGGATTGTCAGTCTCATTTTTCCTAACTACAGGACAAGAAACACAATATAGAAAACTAGTTCAGAAAGGAGAACAAACCCTCAAATGGAATGGAGACAGTCATAAATGTCTGAAGACAATATATAAGATGATCAAAATAAAAAAGAAATCCAAACCAGAATTTATTTCCATCAAGATTACTATATATTTTATTTGTATTCATTGATTGCCCTATGATTTTTGACAGACCATTTCATTTTTACAAAATAGGTTAACATGTAAACCCACAGGTAGAAAACAATTTATTTACAATAAAAACAAGACTCCTCACCTGGTTCCCAGTTTCCCTATTTAGAGGAAACCACTGTCATCTGTCTCTTGCACATCCTAATATACATGTAAGCATATTTTGAAAAATATTTTCCCACAAATGGAGGCATACAATACACAAAATTCCGCATCTTACTCTGTCACACACCTTGGTGACTACTGCACACATATCAGTCTATAAAAAGCTACCATTATATGAAGGTATCATAATTTATTTAACCGGTATACTAGTGATAGACATTTAAATTGTTTCCAATCTTTTATCACTACAAACAATGTTGTAATAAATATTTATAGGCTAAATTCCTAGAAGTAAACATTGTGGGTCAAAGGGAAAGTGCATTTGTGATTTTTGCCACATTAACATACTACCTTCCACAAAGGTTACCTACTGATTTACACATACAAGTGTATTAATGTGGCTGGTTCCACCTGACCTCATCAATACAGTGTTACTGGAGTTCCTAGCTCTCTGAAAATCTGGTAGTTGAAAAATATTCTATCATAGTTGTGAACTACATTTCTCTTACTTAATTATATAAGTAGTAGTTGAGCTTTCTTTTTTTTTCACTTCTAAGAGTCACTAATGTTTCTAAGAATTGTCTATTCATAACCTTTTCTCTTTTGTTATCTAATTATAGGAGTTCTTTATATGAGAAATCAGCCTCATGTGTGATAAGAACTGAAAATATATTTTTCATTTGTTTATGAAAATTTTTACTTTCATATAACCAAATGTGTCAATTTTTCAGTATACTTTTGAATAACTATAGTGCTCTGTTCAATTCTTATTCCAATAGGTGGTGGTCTCCTGACCAAGACATACACAATACCCAAAGTAGATCAGATCAGGTTCTTCAAACCCTTCAAACTTCTTCACATATTTCCTTTACAGAAAACATGTCCACAACCAGCTCTGTTACTTTAATTGAATATTTGTTTCTCCCACTAGATCCTAAGCTCAAAGACAGAGTCTGCGTCTATGTTAACCACTAAATCCCACTGTCCTCATAGTACGTGCTCTGTGTTTGTTGACCAGATAGTAGAATGAATGAAAAAAGACTGAAAGAGGGCCAAGAAAAAGAGGAAGGGATGAAGGATGGACTTCTTTATATGCATTATAAAGTTTGGAAGAATTTATAGCAAAATTATAACATTCTTAACTTTAACTCTGGCTGGGTAGCAGAATTTTTAGGATGTTCCCTTTTTTTTTACTTTTGATTCATCTCTAAGTCCTCTAAAATGAACATTTGGTTATTCTGCAACTTAAAAAGAAAATAATTTAGACAAATCATCAACATGGGAGTAAGTGATGCTTACATAGTTCTACCTACGTGCAAGGTACAGTGTGGAGTGCTTCACATTAATCCCCAAAACACTTTTACATTTAACAATTTAATAATTTAACAATTCAATTTTCTAATAAAAGGGTGATATTATCATCCCCATTTTATAAATGAGGGCACTAAAGCACAAAGAAGCTAAGAAACCTGACTGACATTACAAAGTTAGAAAATTGCAGAGCTAAGATCTGAACTGAGAAGCTCTGGCTGCAGAGTCCATACTCTTATCAGCGCATGACAACTGCCTCTACCTGAGTGTCTAACCAGGACTCTAAAAGGGATCCTGAAAATCATAGTGATTCAAGCAAGTATGCAGAACAACAGAACTCATCGTTTAGAACAGAAAAGGTCAGAATGAAACCTGAGGCAACTTCTCTTCTTATAGCAGATGCTTTTATATTTTTCCTCCTTTAATAACAAATTATCCCTTAACTTATCTAGAGTCTTACAGTATGCTAAGGGATTTTACATAAATCACATATAATACCCAAAACAATCCTATGACCTCAGAAAAGCTGGTATCTATATTTGAAATGAAGATGCTGAAGCTATTAATACAAGTGGCTAAAACATACTCTACACCTTGATCGGCACTATGAATGAATGAATGAATGAATGAATGAATGAATGAATAAATGAATGAATCTCACTGAGACACAGCTAGTGGAGCTGTTAACACAAATTCAAATAAATGTTTCCTCACATTCCTGAGACGCTCCTAGTTTTGTAAGATTACACATGGTGCTAGCTTTTGGTTTTAATTATCCACCTTTTGCTATTTTGCTAAGTTTTTGTTCTAATAAAAATCATTCATCTTTGTGGGGATTTCCGAAGAAAAAATTAAAAAAAATAAATAAATTTAAAAAAAAATAAAAAAATAAAAATCAATATTGACTTAATACCTATTCAGCACCTAATGAGATGCTCACAGGCTTTTTCATCTGTTCAATTATAAGATGAGTAATTGACTTATTAATAGTCTAAAAATTAAACTATCCTTGTATTCCTAGGAGGTATCCTTTTGTTGTCATGTTATTATTCTTTCTAAATAATACTAGTATAAATATTGGCTGGCATTTTATTTAGGAATTTTCCATCAATATAAGTGAGTTGACTTTTTTACACAGTGATTGAAAACAACCCAAATAACCACTAAAATAGGTTGACTAAATAAATTACACTATACCCATTCAACAAAACGCCTACAGTGATTAAAATAAGAGATTTATACATGCTAGTATATTTAAGACAAACTATTAATTTAAAAACAGCAATCCATAGAACAGTATATATAACAAAATGCAATTTTTTCCAATAAACATACATGATTATGAACAAAGGTATCCAGAAAGATATAACATATTATTAGTGTTACTTCTGAATAATAGACCTTGTTAATTTTAAATTTTCACTTTGTTTCTGTTCTACTTGAATGTTATAATAAAGTAGGTATTATTTGTCAATTTTAAAAATATTTTTCTTTAATGTTTTAACTCAGCCTACATGGTTTTTATAGGTTATCAGTTCTCGAACTTTTGGTTTCAGAACCCTTTACACTAAAAAACTAAGAACTTCAAAGAGTTATGTATATGAGCTACATTTATCAATACTGGATTACATTAGAAATTAAAACAGATATGTTTAAAAGACAAAGGATAGAAGTACACATTCCATCAGAGCAATGACATCACCACCTATCAGGTAACCTGTTAAACATCACTTTATAAAAAAAAAAAAACTATCAATATCCAATTGTTTATGAGTAATAAAATGGCAGTTTAAATTGTTTCAATCTAATGCCAATTTTAGCATTAGAAGGGGAAAAAAAGATAATGTGAAGATACTCAAAAGAGTTCAAGCTTGAAAGTCTGCATGGAGCTTGTGAGCACAGGAGGTTGTGGGTCCAAATCACATACTCTCAAGAGCCTCTGCCACTCCCTACTTACCCTTACCCTCCTCCCACCCAGGGTATTAATGTCCTCTTGTGCTGGAAATGCATACCTCCTCTCTGAGTTTGATAACCAAAGATCCCTAGTTTCTAAGCAATCCCAATTTCACAAAATCCTATTCTTTTTCAATAAAGGCAAGTTAATTTTTTTAAGTAAATAATGGTAAAAAAAATTAAAGCTTCAAAAAAAAAGGTATCTACAAATACCATTTTCCAGGGTAATAGAGAGATGCACTTATAATCAGGACACTTATATTTTAGCCCAATCTGACAGCATAGTATATTGGAAAGAGAACTGGAATAACATGAGAACACTAACTAACTGTTCAATTTTGTTAGCCAACCTCTTTCAGTCTGAGCTTCTTCATCCGACACTGCTTCACATAGGTTTGCTAAGACAGTTAAATAAGGATTGCATAGTAGGAACTCAACAAATTCATTCCCTTCTCTCTCTTTCTGACACAATTTTCTCTCCATTTAAAAACTACACTACTCACAACAGTGAGCAGTCATCAAATGCCCCTAAAACTACATTATAAATTTCTGATTTCACGACTTTTCTCATAAAGTTCTTCTAATGTGGAAAGGCTCTCCCCAACATTACTGATTTTAAAGAAGCCTTCATCTACTACTCCTGACCTCCCCATCTCTTCTTTGATACTCCAACAACACAACTATAAGTATAGTCTGCTATACTTTTTTGTGGGAGTTGGTTTCATCTCTCAACCTAGATTAGTAATTTTCTGACAACTTCTTAGCAAGTCCTCAGTATTTTCTCCCATAATTAGTTCAGAATTCTATCATAGTATTCATTCCTACACTTACTTTTACAGGAAAATTAATGACTTATAAAAAGTAAAATTCCCCAGAATATTTTGTTGCTTTACTTACAGGGCACATCAAGGATACCCGAAGGCTAGTTGTAGCAATTTCACTATCAGGATCTGCAGTAAGTTTTTCTTTAACTTTGAAAAGAAGAGAAGAAAACTAAAATTAAAAAAAAAAATTAATGGAGACATAGGAACAGAAAAGAAATATATAGCATCCTATTTTAACATTTCCCAAACACATTGAACAGATCAAGAAACAAAAAAACATTTAATATTAATGTATTGGAAATACAACCATACTCCCTGTATTAGGTTAAATAATTATGACCTTCCAAACTCTAGACATGTTTAATTAAATTTTTAAAAGTAAAACTGCTGGTAAAGAGTTTTAATACATAAAGCTGTTTAAGACTTAAGAACAATACAATGAGAGGAAGCTGAATGCAGCAGTGCCCTAAGCTTCAAAGCTTTTCTAACACATTCATCACTGTTTTTATTCGGCAGTATTGGTTGTTTCCAACACTTGTTACACGTGCAAACAGAAAAGAAAAATATTCTTATACTTCTTTCAACAAGTGAAAACTATTGTGTATGTGGTAATGTGTCTGTGATTTTATTCACTGGTTAAAGTATACAAACTACTACAATACACAAGCTAAATAAATATATACTAATATAAATATTTGATGTGTGAGTTTTTGTTGTTTTTTTCCCACTAAGGCATCTCATATGCTCAGTCTTACAAATATTACTTACTTAGTGCTCTGGAATGATCAGGGTTTCTAATACCTTTCATTTTTAATCTCTGTAATAACATGGCTGATGTGAGCTGTCGTACAAGATATACAGACATGGAGTAATTCTACAAACAAAAAAAATCTGTATTAAAGATGAGAGATAATATTCTCTTTATTTACATAAAATACTTATCTGGCTTCTAACAGTAACATTCAAAATAAATTCTACAAGAAGATCAATGACTGGACAGGGGACAAAATCAACTCAGTTACTTCAGGGGAGATAAAAGCTCAGTCATTTTAAAAGTATTTTTCAATTACTTATCACTTTAAAGCACACACTGATATGGTAACATAGCTTGGATCAGTGGTTTTCAAACTGCTTCTTAATTAGCAAAACTGATACCTTAGTGGCTACTGTGAAAATGTACCCTCCCATGTCTACTTCTAACCAGAATCATTCTGTATTTGCCTACTTTATGTAATGGGGCTCTTCTATTTTTATTTAAAAATGGGTTCTACTGTAGGAACAAAGTTCAAATGCCAGTGGTCTGAATTAACACTTTACACTCACAGTTCCAAAGTTCTAATTCTGGCAGAAGAGACCACTTGCTAGATGGCCTTTGAGCGTACCACTCCAATGAACCCACTAACAGCTTTCTTCTGAGGAAAGCTTTGATAAATTAATTCCACTTCCCAAACAAGCATTTTACTGAGAAAAGAGGCAGCCACTACAGTTTATAAGACACATGAAGAAATGATAAAAATCAAAAAGGCAAGGCCAGAAAATAGCATCCAATCCTGTATCTCTTGGATGTGGCACAAAGAAACCTTCATTAGCTATTTATAAAGCTATGAAGAGATGAAATATAATTTTATCTAAATGCTAAAAAAAAATCTTACCATTATATATATATATATATAATCATTCAATTGATTCTACAGTAAACATAATACTTTAAATAGATGCCAAACCAAATGCTTTAAATATTATTTTTCAATGTGCTTCTAAATATCTAAATACCCAATTTACTGTACAAAATTAATTAACAATTTTAATTACAAGAATACTATTCCTGTTACAAGAATATTATTCCCATTACACGGAAACTTGCCAAGTTTTCAGTGTGTACAATAATTTATACAAATATATGTAAGTTACTTCCAGCTCTGCAATTACCTTGGTGGTAAAACAAAAAAAAAAAATTCCTGTTAGAAACATATGCCTCAATTTTTCCATCCACAAAACAGAATTATCCTTTATTTCCATGAAATAGAAACATTAAAGTTGATGCTCAGAAATTAACTTGAAATCTCTTTCCCATTATCTCAATTATATAAACAAACAATTCTAAAATGTAAATTCCCTGTTGTTTTAATCAACATCTCATAATTCATATATTTTGAGTATAAAAAACAGTTTAAAGACAGGTTCATCAACCTAAAGGTATGGAGGAAATAATCATGTAATTCTAAGTATATATGTTTATACAAGATGCCTACATATCTCAAATATCAGCTGTTTATGTAAAACCTGGAACAGATTATTTCTAATCACAACATGAGTACATTTGACCATCTCCCCCCAAAACTGATAAAGCTTCGTTCTTCTCCATAAGAATTTATTATCCATGGCTTTCAGTTTATTAAAATACTACTTAAATACACACACAATTGTGATTAAACCATTATTTTAAGAAATATAAAGAAACTTATTTCCTTTCCAGGAAAATAAAGAGATAATATTCAGGAACATGAGAGTTAAAGTTTTTAACCATAAGAATCTCCACCGAGCCACCCCTGAACTGAAAATTACTGCTTTTTACAGATTATAATTAGAAAACTGAAAGAGCTAGGGCCAGTACCCTAAGAAAAAACTCCCAGTGGGGTCACTTTTATACTACCCAGAGGAGAGAAGCTTTACCTTTCCAATTTCTGATGCCCAAGAAATAGAAATCTGGTTTGGCACAGCAGAAGATAACCTAACTAAAGATGTAATATTCAAGGGGCGTCCAGGGCGTTTCTGTTCAATCCCATTTTTAGGTGGTGGTGCATAGCCCTATAACCATAAGAAAGAAAAATTATTTTAAATTCTCTGTAGAAGATTAAACATTTTCTCCAAGATAGATACAAGATCTTGCCTAATTTCAGTTACATTATTTTTATTTTTGCCTGGAAATCACACAGCCCTTATCTTACGATTGTTAATCCAAAACAAGAAAATGATCTTTGAAAAAAGTTATAAAATATTTCACAAGTCTAGAAAGGTAGGGAAAGAAAATTCATGTTCCATCATTAAAGATGCTGACATCCTGCCTTACTGGCTATGAGTATTTTTCCTTTTTATAGGAAACTAGCATTTACAGATAAAGTCACAACTCTTTATAGTGATTCATCTTACGAGGCCCTATTCAAAATCCATTCACATATTGAGGGTGGGAAAGAGGACAAGCAAACTGGGAATTTAAAAAAAGAACACACAATAATGAATTTAATTCTTAAAATCTGTGACAAAAATGTTTTCCACTGCCTTTTCTCTGAGTAGAATAGAAACTGTCATCTTTTAAACCAGGTCAAGTTAACAAATAAGGAAATCAATATTTCAACTGACGTTAGATGAACTCAATGGCTATCATACTGCTATTTACACTTTAATCTACTTTTATATAGACATCAAGTGTTTGTTTGAATCAGCAAATGTACTCATTTCTATTTTACAGTGTATCTAATTCTTGATCACAAGACTTTGCTCAGACTTATTTCCAAAACTAAATGTTTTAGAAAATGTTCTTACCTGCAAAAACACATACTGAAAAGCAGATACCATATTTCACTGACTCGAAGATGTTACTGATGTAATTTATGTATCATTGAGAAGGAGAAAACACTAAGTTAATGATACAACTTTGTGTATCATTACTTATTTCTGTATACATAGCAAGGAAATATAAGCAAAATGAATTATATTCCTTTTGAACACACAGAAGAGTCTCCTGAATCACTTTTTAGTCACCAATGTCTACATTTTTCCACATGATACTCTCCTAAACCCGAGTAAAAGCATTAGAGATAAAGTATGTCTTAAAATTGTACTCCCTAGCCAGGCGTGGTGGTGTGGACCTGTAGTCCCTGCTACTAATAAGCCTGATGGAGGGTGGGGGGATTTTGCTTTGAGCCCAGTAGTTAGAAGTTGCAGTGAGCTATCATGGCGCCACTGCATTCTAGTACGGGCAACAGAGCAAGACCTCATCTCTTTAAAAACAAACAAACACTATTCCATTCTACTAACATCTTTCAGATTTCCTTGCAAGTCACTGACATCTTTAACTTGCATGTGTTATTGGTGATAACAATCTAGATCTTATGAGAACATACGGATGAAAGGTTTTCAGACAATAGCCAGGATCATGCTCCTTCCTCAAAATGTCCTTAAATTATTTGTTTACTGAGAAGCCAACAGGGTGCAGCTAATCAGTCATGCCATTGTAATAACATCAAAGTTTTACAAGTGAGGTAATGACATCACAGCTTCTGGATTTCAGCAAGGTAAAAATACACACCTCAGAAACAATGAAAAACTGCATTGGTGATATTACACAGCACAGCTAAGGAACACACTCTCTCTATTAAACTTGGGAACACCCTTCACTACCTCCTAAGAGGTAGAATACTATTAAGTGTGAATCCACATGATTAATTTATAATCTACAACTTGCAACAAATATTTGAAAATCATTAAAAAGTTTGAGCAGGGGAATAAAAGACAAGTAGAAGAACTTAAATAAACTATACTATAATACAAAAATGGAAATAATGTGGGGAGGTTGGGGGAGAGAAAGAGAGAGTATTGAGTGTATGTGTATACAGGAGGGTTATATCCATCTAAGATATGGAAGAGGGAACATCTTAATTTGTTCAAGTGAAATACAACAGGGAAAAAAACTCACAAAAAAGTACTCTTAGAAAGACTCTAGGAATTCAATGAGCAACACACACAAGGAATATCAACATCAGTATCCAGGTAATATTTTTTTTGGAGACAGAACCTTGCTATGTAGGTTGAGAGTGCAGTGCCATCATCATAGCTCACTGCAACCTCAAACTCCTGGGCTCAAGGAATCATCCTGCCTCAGCCTCCCAAGTAGCAGGGACTACAGGTACAAGCCACAATGCCCAGCTAATTTTTCTATTTTTGTTTTCTATTGTTTGCTCTTGCTCAGGCTAGTCTCGAACTCCTGAGCTCAAGAAATCCTCCCACCTCAGCCTCCCCAGAATACTAGGATTACAGGCGTGAGCCACCACACCCAGCCAACATCCAGATAATTTTGAATGAAACTTGTTTTGCCTGGTTTTGGCCTGGAAGATATTTCTGTCTTCTGGTATGTCCACTGGTAGGTTGACCAAATAAAAACAATGGTATAGGGTCTGCCGAGAGGATAAAAATAACTCTTGAACTAGCTAAATGTGAACTCTGTAAATTGGAATTTGAGAAACAAGACACTGACAGAGTGGAAGACAGCAACAGGAGTGGGGAGAGTAACAGTGAATGTAAGAATGAAGTGTTATTAGCAAACTCATAATCACGTTGATACTAGTCTCATTCACCTTAAGTATTAATATTTCAACCTATTCTGAGTGAAATGATTTCACTGATAATTTTGGGTTATCTGTTAACTGGCATTCTCCCTCTAACCATCAGCACCACCCCCACCCCATCAATTACCTGGTTATTGAGAATAAGGTATAGTTGCAATTTCATAAAATAGCCTTTAGCTATTTCTAACAATTTTCTGTATTTACAACAAAAATAGAAGTTCACCTCACAAGGGATCTGTGGAGCAAACCTACAAGCTCTCTAAGTAAAGGCCACTGGGGACCACCAGTGGAAGACTGCATATCAATCTTGGCCTAGTACTTCAGAAAAAGATACAAAGAACTCTTCATGTAACATGCTCTAATGACATCTTACCCTACCTTGCAATTGTCACAAAAGTCCACAATTCTTGAACTTCAACATTTTCTTCCAAATTTTCTAATGATTACTACTACTCTAATACTACCAACGTGGATTTACTTTTTTACTTTGTATTACAGACATTTTCAAACACATACAAAAGTAAAGAAAACAGCAGGTACCCACCCACCAGCTTCAATAATTATCAACATGTTGTCAATCTTGTTTCAATTACCTCTGGCCCCAATCCCAACCCACCCTAAAACACACACACCACATAAATTCACTTATTTTCACCCTTCATTATTTAAATTCAAGTTCTAGACATGCCATTTGGCCCACAGGCACTTTAATGTATCTCTAACAAGATGTTTAAAAGAAAAAAAACCCACCTTACAAAATTAGCCACAGTATTTAAAAACCATCTAATACTTTGTGTTTCTATTCAGATTTTCCAGCTGCCTCAAAGATGTATTTTCCTTTTATCTTTTTCTTATTGAACATTGCAAACATATACAAAAATAGAGAAAAAAGTATAATAAACAAAATGCCCATACACCTATCACTTAGTTCAATAATTTATTTACTAATGAACAATCTTTACTGGCTCTACCCCACCCCATTCCAGGTTATTTTAAAGCAAATCTCTGACATATTTTCTCCATATATAATTTGATTAAAAGATGCCCCTTTTCAGTTTGAATCAGAATTCAAACTAGAACCTCACTCTGCACTTAATTATGTCTCCAAAGTCTCCTTTATTCTATAAACATCCTTCCCCGACAAACATACACACCGCCCCCCCCCCAACGCCCCATATTTCTTTTCCAATGCTGTTGTTCTACTGGAGAAACTAGGATTTTTGACCTGAAAAATGACCTCATATTTTGGATTAGGTAGATTGCTTCTTCATAGTATGCAGTATGCTTCTTCATAGTATGCAGTTTGGTTGCTCTATCTCCCATATATTTTTAAAATTGATAATTAGTTGGACACACTTGATTAAATTTGGGCCCAAGTTTTTAGACACAAAAACTTCACAGGGAATGTTGCATGCTTCCTATAGTATAAGGCACATAAAAGCTGCTTGTCCTGTTTCCAGAAATGTCAAGGTTGAGCAGGAGTTGACCGGATGTCAGCCTGATCCCCAAGGTTCTCCATCAAGCTTTGGCCTGGCATCCATAGATAGTTACTTAGATCTACTATATAATTATCAATTGCAGAATAATGGTTTTCTAATTCTTTTATTTATTTTGATTGTATTAGCTGAAATGTTTCAAGAAAGAATTTGACCATATCAACATCTGGCTACCCTGAAATGAATAATTCTCTCCCTTAATTAATCCTCAAAGTAATGAGTAGGTACAACCTACAGTGGCTTGTTTTAGTATAATTATAAACTTATTTACATATTTGATGGTTTTCAGTCTACTGTAGTCATTATTTTTTTCAGATGCCAAAATTATCCCATCTCAGGTCAAAGGGAGCCTTTTCAAATTGGGGTACGTGCATGTATACATGTTTTTAAGAGAAAAAAATTTTGAGTTTACTTCAAGTCCAGACTTACTTTGAGGCAGGCCAATGGGGTGACTAATACACAGCATCAGGAAACAGAAATCCACGTCCTCAGAAGTAAAATTTAGAACAGGGCCAGTACTGATAAGTCTTCAGGCTGCACCAAAAGGAACTACTTGGAGATTTTTGCCAACTATTATATCACACATCCTCTCCATTCTTTGGAATCTTTCAAAGAAATATTCTTCCCTATCCACGCTTCTTCCCCCTCCAACCTTATAGCTCCACAGATTTTTACACAAACTTCTCACAATTTAAAAAGAAAAATAATTCAGCCTCTCAAAATAACTCCCTAGGCAAAAAGGGCCTTTTTTTCCTCTTCTGCCCATAAAAACATGGAATTTTCACATCTGGCTGCCAGTCTGTACACTGGCAGCACTTGGAGTTGGGGGGTGGGGTGGAGGGGAGGATGGTCTCTGCGGCAGCTTGTCTGTCCACGCTGCACATCATCCTCCTACAAGCCCTATGAGCCGCTCACGGTCTTCCCTGCATCAAGGGAACCTGGAAAATCAATACATGAAGGTGTTCATCTCGACATAGTATTAAAAAGAAGTACATGAGCTGCTTTCATCACTATTTGATCCTTAAGAGTCCAAGGACACACTGCTATTGTCAAAGTAATACCATTTCCCATTGTATATGCAATATAATGGCCAACTGTCATGGGTCCATAATGACTGGATGCTGCAATAAGATCATACACAAAAGGACTTATTCCAGGACACAGACAACTTCAAATATATTCAGGGCTCTAATGGGAAATTCCATGACTATGTCAAACTTATCCCTCCCTCCAGGATCTATTGTTCAATTAATTAGGATCATGGGCAAGGACCAAATGACAAACATTTTTGTGGCCTGTTGACGCTTCTCACAACTGGAACGAAGACCCCAAGGCTCTTGACGGTGGGCAACAGCTCAGCAGAACTCCTTCAGAGCCACTGTAGCTTTCTTCTTCTAAGGCTGCAGCACACTCATGTTTATAAAGACTCCATATTTCATTATCCCAGTCAATAGCAATTGTGGATCAAGAGGTGGTTTAAGGAGTTTTCCTAACAGTTGCACGTGAATTTATGTCAGTTGTTCTATAGGAATTCACAGGGTTGAGGTAAAAAGCCTCTTTGGGAAAGCCTGGCAGTTGATTTTCTTTGGGACAACCCTACCAGGATCGGGCAAGTCCTTCCCGTTGCCCTCTGTTTTTGAAATACGTCTTTGCCTTTCTCTCAATGCTCCATTTCTTTTCCTCCTTCACAACCACCCCTGGAGCTACCACAGGGCCCTGGCTCTAGAGTTTGAATGCCAGACCCAGACAATGGGCACTTTATGTAGCAGCTGACATGTTCACAAATAGCCTAGTATAAGTACTAAAGGGTTAGCTGATACTTTGGAATAGGAACCAGCAATAACTGAGTAACAACGTCCCAGAGGAAAGTACTCAACCGCCTAATTTCCTCTCCCTCAAAAGACTAGAAGAGTGACAAATTCAAAGCTATCCACAGTGGTGCTGTAGACCTCATACATGAAGATATCATCCCAAAACATGATACTGATTCCATTTGGAAGTTTTGTGGAATGTGTATGTACACACATCTGTAGCCACTGTATTTTCTATAGCAATGCCAGAGTTTAGGCAGAGCCTTACACATTTCAGACACAATCCCCATTAGTAGCACAGTCACGTGATGATACTGGATAGGTTTTCAAGGTGAGTCTGTAGACACCAAGAAGGCTTCCATAGTTACGTCTTTCTTCTAGTGGGACAGGTTAAATAGCAATGAAACTCATAGGTCAAACAAATCTTAGCACACCCTAGGCAAAGAAAAATGGATATAAAAAGGCCATGGAAAGTATACACAGAGTTGTTCTATAATCTATGATTCTGCCAGGCTGTCTTTGCCCCACATCTGGCCACCCACTGGCATCCTTCAGCTCCAAGTAGGGTTGCTTCTCCCCTCAGTTCAGATCTAGATAAGAGCTCCTGAGAATCTTACTGCTGGTAGCCAGAAACCTGAGAGGCAAATGTCTCACCTGGGTTTTAACCATGGATGGGGCCGTGTAAGCAACCCTCCCTGACCATACTACTCAGCCTCTGAGATTTCCCCTTTCATCCCCAGGACTGTCTCAATGGATTTCAGTCTCATGGGCATCTTTCAGAAAGAGTCAGTGACGCAGTGTTGCTCAAGCCCTGTAAAATGCATGAAACAAGTATTTCTCAGGCCTCCAAGAGTCCACAGGCTGTGTATAAGACAAATGAGACTCCTAACAACTAAGAGAAGTCACATCCACTAAAAGACAAGGCTCAGCCTCGGCCATGGACTATATTCCCCTGGAGCTCAATTATAAGCACATGGCTCTGGTAGAGCTCAGTCCTAGGCTGTGTTGTCTGACTTGCTCAGCTGCTCATCAAGATTGCTTATATACTTATTCCAGAGCCAAGTCTCGTGCTCAGCAGGGATGCTAAATGGCTTCCCCATCTCCTCAATAGTTGCAAGGGTGTCTGTTCTATTGGATTGGCAAGTTGGCATACTGATGGAGTCACTGTTCTCATAGCACTTCAGTTGTAGCAAATATACCTCCCACTTTGTAGTGCTTGACAAACAGGCCATGTTGTACTATTTTTTTTGATTATGGCTTTCCTGGCCTTCTATAGACTGTAACAATTTAGCAACATATGCCAAGATTCAGTGGAAACCAATACAAAATCCAGTTCAACAATGTAAATGTTATTTTAACATTTCACTAACAAGATTTAAAGAGTCTAGAAACTTACCAGGCTAGAATAGGCTGTATACATTCATACTATATATATCTTCCAGGTACTGAACCCCATATAGTACTTCACTGCTTAAACAGGTTGTCAATCAAATATCAGTGCATGCCCTCAAATCCCAAGCACATGTATCATCAAGGCTAAAGCTTGGAATTTTTTATTTCTGTGGACAGTAGCTCTCAGCATCCTCTGCTTCTCACCATATCACCTACTGGCCAGGCCCAGCTAAACCAGACATCCACCAAAACATGCTGTCTTACATATTCAAGTGCCCACGTCCTGCCCTGCTACTATGCCACTGGATATGATCCCAAGATCTTCCTTACTTTCTGGACCAAGATGTCCCAGGCTCTTGCTGGGCATGGTGGTGTGCACCTGCAGTCTCAACCTACTCAGGAGGCTAAGGCAGGAGGATCACATGAACTCAGGAGTTCGAGTCCAACCTGGGCAACACAGTGAGATCCCATCTCTCTCTTTTTTTTTTTTTGAGACAGAGTCTCGCTTTCTTGCCTAGGCTAGAGTGAGTGCCGTGGCGTCAGCCTAGCTCACAGCAATCTCAAACTCCTGGGCTCAAGCGATCCTCCTACCTCAGCCTCCCGAGTAGCTGGGACTACAGGCATGCGCCACCATGCCCGGCTGATTTTTATATTATATATATTAGTTGGCCAATTAATTTCTTTCTATTTTTATGGTAGAGACGGGGTCTCGCTCAGGCTGGTTTTGAACTCCTGACCTTGAGCAATCCACCCGCCTTGGCCTCCCAGAGTGCTGGGATTACAGGCGTGAGCCACCGCGCCCGGCCTACCATCTCTTTTTTTATACAGATATATTTTTTAAATGTTCTAGGCTCATATTTTCCATCTCTCCCAGACCTAGTATCAGCCATTTCTTTCTCCAAAGAGCCATGGATCACTTAGGTGGAAAACATTATTTTAATCTAGATGCTTGGACTGTTCATCACTGGTACTGAGTTGTCACTGCTTCTAGGACTTGTCAGTGTTTATATTAAACTTATATGCAAATATGGTGAATAAATAGCAACTTACAGGCAAAGGAAATAACTTCCCATTTACTTTTATACATAGGCTATTTGGATAGTTATCTTCTTGAGGGCAACTTGTCTCTGCCAGGCAAAGTCTGCATTAATAAAAGAAAAAAATTATTCTTAAATAGTGTACTCAAACATGCTTATGTGTTTTAAAATTCAGAGCTATATGCACATAGTTAGCAAGTGTAAAATTAAGGTAACAGAAAATTTCAAACTCACCTCAACTGAACTTGTACTGTATAATCTCTCCTACCACCAGGCAAAAAATCCCTGTTGGAAAGAGAAAGAAAATAGGTTAAGAAATCACAAGGAAAATTCACAGGAATACTCTCACCAGAAAAAAAAAGCATTATTTGTATTTTTGTTCTTATTCCTTAAAAGATGAACACTACATTACAAACAATCAAATATTAAGGTACGAACATTAATCAAAACACTGGGATGATGATAACCCCCGTTTACTTAATTTTCAGCCATGTGTTTATGGCAATTTTAAGGTTATTTTCAATCCATAGAGATTTTGATAATGCAAAATTCATTTTAACAGACAACAAATTTGGTTACCACAAAAGGAAGTAGCCTACATTCTGAAAGAGTTTAACAAATTAATCTATTTGCTTAGAGGTTCTTAACCTTGGCTGAGCAATCTAATCACCTGAAGATTTTTTTCTTTTTTAAATATAAAGATCCATTTGCCAGATATTCTTATTGGTCTTGAGTACAGCCTGAACATTAGGTTTTTACAGCTATTCAAGTGATTCTAATATAGAATCAGGATAAAGAACTAGTGTCTAGAGCAGGGGTCCTCAAACTTTTTAAACAGGGGGCCAGTTCACTGTCCCTCAGACCATTGGAGGGCGGGACTATAGCTTTAAAAAAAACTATGAACAAATTCCTATGCACACTGCACATATCTTATTTTGAAGTAAAAAAACAAACGGGCAAAAACACACACATGTGGCCGATGGGCTATAGTTTGAGGACGCCTGGTCTAGAGTCTCAACATCTTCATATCATGGTAATTTCGTAATTACGTAATTAAATTAAAGACCCAACCTCTTGTAATTTCTAGAGGAGAACCTAATGGTCCCATATGAAATATCTTTTGGGACCTTCCAAACCTTTGCATCTCAAAATGGAGTCTACAGTGAAGCAGCATTTGTTATCTCTTAGGCGCTTGATAGAAATGCAGAATCTGAGACCCCATCCCAGACCTGTACAACTAGAATCTGTATTTTAATAAGATCCCAGGTGACATGTATACACACTGCAGTTTAAGTATTATCCTTAGCCACTGTCATAAATCTTACACTTTGTCTTCTGATCATTAGAGTAGTCCCTTCTTAAGAAACTTGAAGTACATTTAACCCTAACCTTGCTCTAACAGGATCATTCCTCTCACCATTCCCAATTCCCTATGTTCACTGAAAGGCAATAAAGCATAGCAGTGACCAGCCTGGGCTCTACAGTTCCAAGCTGTACAAACTTGGACAAATTACTTAATCTTTCTGTGCCTGTTTCCACATTTGTTAAAGATGGAAAATTATTACACCTACCATATCCAGTTGTTATGATTAAATATGCTAATAATATAGGTAAAGTACCTAGATATAAAATGAGCTCAGCAAGTGTGAGCAAATGGCTGCTATTATTGTTTTCTACTGCTCCCACTGTCTTCCTTACCACTAGTAGCCTCCATCCTTTTCAAATGTCTATTCAAAACATCCCAGTATCCTAGACAATACTGACCTCTTCTGAGCAACCCATATCATTCCACTAATTCAAATCAAGAAATATCTCATAGTCTGGGCAATGGAGCCTCAAAGATAAATAAAACACAGTATTTGCTTCCAAGGACTCATAGGCTAATAGGTAACAGACACATAAAACTAAAATAAAATGTGATAAGTGCTATAGTACATTATGAAAAATAAGTGCTACAGAAAAAGGAGAAATTGTATTTCTGTCTTGAAAGTTTGAGGCACTTAACACAATTAGCCTGATCAAATTAGAACCACTGCTCTACAAACCGTGTTTTCTAACTATTTTTGCTTAATGGCCCCACCAGTAACATTAGTGAGGGCAGTTCCACTAGTGTGCTGATTCTCAACAAGAGGAAAGGGTGAGATTCAACCAGAGATACAGAATCTTATTAAGATACAGAATCTTATTAATAAGATCAGAATCTTATTAAGGAAAACATAATCTGAAAACAGAGAAACAATAAGTGATAAGCCTAGGAAGATGGATGGAGCCAGGAAAGGCTCATGCCTATAATCTTAGCACTTTAAGAGGTTGAGACAGGAGGATTGCTTGATGCCAGGAGTTCGTGACCAGCCTGAGCAACATGGCAAGATCCCCATCTCCACAAGAAATAGAAAAATTAGCTGGACATGGCAGTGTGCACCTATAGTACTAGCTACTCAGAAGGCTGAGGAAGGACGATCACTTGAGCCTAGGAGTTTGAGGCTGCAGTGAGCTATGATGACACCATTGTACTCCAGCCAGGGCAACAAAGCAAGACCCTATCTCAAAAAAGAAAAAAAAGAAAGAAAGAAGGATGTGGATAGATGTGAGCATGTTACATGGATAGATATGAGCATGTTACAAAGAGTTCTGAACAGCTCCCTAAGGAGCAATATTTTATTCTGGTAAGGGGAAATTGACATGAACAGAGAAACACAATGTGCTAAATGTCTTCACAAAGATCTTAAGTAATGACCTTCCGACATTCATTTTCTGCCAGTCACTATTGTAGAAACTTTCACGTTGATCCAGACATAAAGTAAGCGATTACTGTACGCCAGGCACTTTAATCGGTTTTGAGACTATAAAAACGAGTAAGCGATGTCACTTTCATCGCTTGTAATGAAGTTTGTAAATGCAAGTAGTGAAATAGATGCAATAATACTTTAATAGAAAGTAAGCTCACGGCACAGTGAGAGACAAAGGCTGTGTTTGGGGACATCTGGGAAAGCATCATAGAGTATGTAAGACTTGAACTGGCCCTTGAAACATGACTTAAGAGGTTTGCCAGGCAGAGTTGAAAGAAAGGATATGTGAAGGTACAGAGATATAAAGGAGCATTAACTCAGGAAATAAAACAGGAAAGCCTAGCCAGAGTATAGGTTCCTATAAGAGTAACAGGAAATAAAATGATTTAAAAAAAAAAAAAAAAAAGGTGGGCAGAGCAAGAAGTTGAAGTGAACTCGTGGACTTCATGAGGTACCACTACAAAATGTGTAAGCACAAAAGAGAAAAAACTCAATGGGTTTTAGAAGGATTACGTGGTAGGCTGGAAGATGAAGAGCTGAGACCAGTACAATTGAATAGGCAAAAGATGAGACCTTGACAGTTATTTAAACATATTAATTTCACTCAGTGATATTTAAGCATAGTCAGTGATTGACTAGATATGGGAAGGTAGGATAAGGGAGGGGGAGTTTCCTGGATTATGCTCAGGTTTTGGAATGGTGCAATTGGATAGATGGTGATGCTACTCACTAGGACAAGGAGAAGACTACATAAAACAATCTCCCCAGCTACTCACTTAGGTTCCAATTTTACATACTGGGCAAATGATTCAGTGAGGTTTAATCACTTGCCCAGAGGCATAGACACCTACACTCAGAATTCACTTTTCAGTTGGTATTAACATAAAGACCATACTAGCTCCCTCAAAGTTAGAGTTGTATCATCAAGTTTTAAACATTGAGAATTACACAGAAGGATTAATGAAGCATAGCAACTGATAGGATGTGGTAAATGAATAGAAGGCTAATACAAAGAGGCCTCTGTCCAGACAGACCCCAATGCCATTAATGAAATGAGGAATACAAGAGGAAGTATACCAAGCAGAACTCTCCTTGAAGCCAGTTTACTTTTCAACTTTGCATCCTTGGTGCCTAGAATATTGCCTAGACCATGGTATACAGCCAATGATTATGTGCTGAAGGAATGAATGCACAAAAGACAACCGGGTTTGAAGGAAGTCAAGTTCAATATTAAATGTGTTGTTTGATGTGCTTGAAGGTCATCAAAATAGAGAAGATGTCCAGAGGGAGGTGTTGGTGAGTTTGCAGCCAATATAAAAATAACTAAGTACATTCATGAATACTATCAGAGTAACAAGAAGATAATCAGAGATCAATTACTGGGAAGAGGTATGGGAAGTCAGTGTGAAGGACAGATGGGATGATTTAACATAGCCATACCAATGGAAGGAGTACTACTAAAGCCAAGAACAGAGCTGAACCCCAAGGATCACTCTGAAAGACATAATGGGAAAAACAAAAAACAAAAACAAAACCTGAACCTGAATGTATTCAAACCTCTAGTCTAGATCTTATTAGGTAAAGGGAAGGAGCTATACTAGATAAATAGCAGTAGTTCACAAATTTGCTGCACACTGGAAACACCTGGGAAGATCTAAAAACCACTGATGTTTAGGTTCCACTGATGTTTGGGGGAGGTCAGATACAGACTGTGAAAATGTTGGTGATTACTGAAGCTAGGTAATTGGGTACCAAATCTTTATGTCCACTTATTGGGAAGGAGATTTTTACTATTTGATTCTACAAACTCACAAAGGTTGGGATTTGTATGTACACATGTATGTGTGTGGTCCTTTTTTTTTTCTTTTGGAGGGAGGACTCCAAATAGCATTACTTTTAAGATTCTTAAAAAAAAATTTATATTAGGGTTAAATATACATAAGATAAAATTTAACATCATAACCATTTTTAAATGTACAGTTCTGTGGCATTAAGTACATTCACACTGTTGTGCAACCGTCACTAACCATGTACCTCCAGAACATGACTGAATTTTTTTAATTGAAAATAATTATTTCAGCTAGTGTGGTGGCTCATGCCTATAATCTTAGCACTCTGGGAGGCTGAGGTAGGAGGTTTGCTTGAGCTCAGGAGTTTGAGACCAGCCTGAGTGAGACTCTGGCTCTACAACAAATAGAAAAATTAGCTGGGCATTGTGGCGCAAGCCTATAGACCCAGCTATAGATACATAGACCCAGCTATAGATCTATAGACCTACAGACCTCAGGAGACTGAGGCAGGAAGATCACTTGAGCCCAGGAGTTTGAGGTTGCAGTTAGCTACGAAGATGCCACTGCACTCTACCCGGGGAGACAGAGTGAGACGCTGTCTCAAAAAATAATTATTATTATTATTATTTTAGTCATTATACTTCTTGACTACTTAATAGTCACATGGTTCAAACTTCAAAAAGACACAAAAAAAGACATAAAGTAAAATGACTCCCCATAACTCTGCCCCAACTCTGTCAGGGTGACTGTACAGCTCAATTTGCCCAGAACTGTCCCAATTTATGTTCTTATCCTAGAATTATTAATACTGTTCATTTTTACTCTCAAAAATGCCTCAGTTTGGAATGATAAAGTTTATAGTCACCCTATCTCTGGGCTGTTACCACAAATTATTTATGCTACTATATCTGGAATACCATTTCATAATTTTTTTTAAATTCCCAGCAAATATGACAAAAAGTAATTTAAAAGATATTCTAAAGTTTTATTCAAAGGTTAAAACTTTTTTCTAGTACACAGCACTTATTAAATATTTGACTAATCTCAAAGTATGCTCCCCTTACTTAAGGAGAAATAAGCCAACTGTAATGGACTGAATTGTGTATTCCCCAAATTCACAAGTTTGAGGTGCTAACCCCCAACGTTACTGCATTTAGAGATAGAGCCTTTAAAAAGACAATTAAGATAAAATGACTCCGTAAGGGTAGGTCCCTAATCCAGTATCACTGGTGTCCTTCAAAGAAGAGGAAAAGACACCAGAGACACTCTGGTACGGAGAAAAGGCCATGCAAGAAGATATGGGAGCCAAAGAGAAAGGCTTCAGGAGAAACCTAACCTGCCAACATCTTGATCTTGCACAGAAGCCTCCAGAATTTTGAGAAAAAAATTTCTGTTGTTTAAGCCACCCAGTCTGTGACATTTTTGTATGGCAGGCCTAGCAAATGAATATACCAACATTCATGGAGAAATATATTTCAAACATTCCTCTTACCTGGATATGCATATCTCTCTAACTTGTTGAGGTGTCAAAGCAAAAATAAAAAACTTCTCTTGAAATCGTTGAATACTGCTTTGAACTGGGGAGAAAAAAAAAAGATAATATTTCAATAATAAATCCAAGGGCATAACCACCTGCAATAATCAGGTACTTCTAATAAAGCATCTGCCAAATTCTGAAATTTTATGGTTACAATACTCCAAAAATCAAGATGTGCTGACTGAACTGTATTTACCTTGGAATGAGTAAAGACACCACAAAGGAGCTTCTTTAATTTTAAGCACTGAATCATTGTTTATCCTAGAACACTAATTATAATATATAGTCAAATTATAACAAAGTCCTTCAATCTTATAGTTCATCCTTAACTATAGTACCATCTAATAAAAATCTGAGGAAATCAAAAACTCTCCCTAGGAGAACTCTATCTAAGAATTAAGTACTTTTTGTTTGTTTCCTTCTTTCTTTGTTGTGTTTTGTTTTCAGTGTTCTGTATTCGATTACACAGAGACTTCATATGAGAAAATTTTAAATATCAAAACTACTCACAGTTATTAAGATACATTATTTGCAACCAAAAAGACTGACTAGTTAAAAAAAAGATTATCTATGAAGTCACCTTTCTTATTTATATTAAAAATTGAAATGTACTAATGATTTCACAAAGAACTGTAAACAGATTAATACTGATGAATTATTCAATAATGTTCTAGTGACCATTAAAACACAAGAAAAAAAGCAAAATAGAGAGGCCTCAAGTCTTCTGCTTCCTAACAAGTACCACACCACCACCCAAGGAATGGCAAAATGGCCATGATGTGTGTTATTGCCCACAGTTTTCCTGATGCATAAAGATAAATAAACAAGATGCCAGTTGAATATCCAATGTCAGAGGTTTCAACCACAAGTCACACCAACTCAGAAAACTATTAACTTTCTGGGTAAAATACTCTTTAAAGCATGGACAGTTTATTGCAGCAATTATGCTCTTAGAAATAAGGTCACAACATAGTTTATATTTTCTCAGGATACTTAAAAAAGGAGGAAAGAGAAGGATGCTGTTTATGATGAAGGCCTAAAAATTCAGGAAACAAAACTTCAGGTTATTGACATAATTATGGGGCATCAAACACAAAGACCTAAATATAGCAGTTAGTCCTCAATCTTTCCTTTCTTGCACAGATTCCACTTTATCTATGGCTAAGAGTCACCAATGGTATCCTGTCAAAAGTAATAACCTATATTTTAAGAATACAAGTTAACAAACTGCATTTTCAACCTTAATGGCATGAGTATCTTCTGCCAGAAAACTCAATAGGTCTAACATAAGTACAAATGGAGTGCCAAAAGAAGAAAGCAAAAATGGGGCATTAAAAAAAAAAAACTTGCAGAAATAATGAAAGAATAATCTATAACTTTGATGGAGAAGAAAAAAAGATTTACAAACCAAACCCCAAGCAAAATAATACAAAGAAAACAACCTAGTCACATTATAATCTAATTACTGAAAACCAATGACTATAAAATCTTGCAAACAGAGAATGAAATATTACATAAAAGGGAACAATGGAACAACAATACAAATAAAGGCCAACGTCCCATCAGAAGTAATGAAGGCCAAAAGCTTTCTTTAAAGTGATGAAAAAACTGTCAACTAAAAATTCAATATCCTTCAAAAACAGAGTGAAACAATAACTTTTCAGATAAGCAGAAGCTAAAAGAATTTGTTCACAGCAGACACGCATTACAAGAAATGCAAAAGGAAAATTATTGGAACTTTCAAAAGATACAAATTCCAAATTGGACCTTGGGAAATGAAAATCACTACAAACAGTAAAAAAGTGGCAAAAGTAAAAAAATGCTGTTTTTTTCCTTGTTGTGATTTCCTTAAAAGGATAACTGTTTAAAGGAAAAGTAATGGCATTGAAAGGCAGGTAAAAGTAAAGATATGACAATGGCAAAAAAGGATAGAGGGATGGAAAAATGAAATTATATGCCCAAGAATTTTGTTTCTTGCTTCATTCTGATTAACTTCATTAACATAAACCTCCCCAGAGACAAATATATTCTTAGTGTGCCAAAAAAGTGGCAGGTACTTACACCTGCAAAGCCCAGCACAAGACCCTCTGAATTCACCAGGACAAATGCCAGTATTTGAGGCCCTGTCTGGATGACTGGACTTAACCTACTCTGAAAAGTTCCTATGAACCATTAACTTTAACATTTGAAACTGGAATGCTTCCATAGTTGCATCACACATATATGTATTCAATATGCACCTTTATATCAAATTGCACATATATGTTGCATGTTGTACTTATGCAACATGTATGTACAATTTATAGAATTTGCAGCTTAATGTTAGTTTATATCATAACAGACATATTTTTAATGTGCTTTTTTTTTTCTGACTTACTCTGGCTTTACCTGTCATTTATTAATATTTGCTAGCAAATTTTCAAACCAAACTATAATCCCAAATAACCATGGGAAAATGGGTATTATCACTATATACCATAAGGGAATTCCAGAAACTTATAGCAATAAAAAACAGTGCACATGATAATAGAATCTAATTTGTATTGGTGCTGACAGTTTTAAGATAAGTCAATTTTATGACACAACAGCAGCCAAAAGTACACTAAACCTAATAAGGTAAGCCAATTAGCAAAACTGTTATTTTAATATAGATCATGACAAAGAATGGCAGGACGTAAAATAAAAGTACACAGGTTTTACAGTTTATTTTCTCCCCGTTGTCTACAATTTGGGAATCAGAAAACCAATTCTGCACAGATCCCATGAATGCTTATATGTTAATGACAAATGAAAAGAAAATGACCACAAGTCAAGGGCATGAATTAAATATGGCTTTATTCAAACTCTTTCCCTTTTCACCAACCCTTCATAATTTAGATTCTATTTTCCAAATATGGCTACAAACTTAGCTCCCATCATGTCCTTCTCATTATGTAACCCTGATATTCCTCTTCCAATTGAGTAGTGGGGTCTACATCACTCTCCCTTTGAACCTGAATGGTTCCCTTTGTGACTGCTTCAACTAACAGTGTACAGTGTAAATGATGCCATATAACTTCCAAGGTAGATCATAAAAATGCCATCTAAGTCTTTCTTACTCTGGGGATGGGGACTCTGGAACCTAGCTCTCATACTGTAAAGAAGCCCAAACTAGACCACATGAAGAACCTACAGGAAGGTATTCCAGCCAAGAGCCAAGTTGAGTCCAAGGCTTCGGGCAGTAAAGCTGCCAGACGTGTCAGTGAACATGCCTCCAACTGGTCCAATCTTTTAGCCATCAAGTTGCCACAAGCATTTAAGTCTTCTCAGCTAAGACCCCAGACATCCTGAGATAAGAGACAAGCCATCCATACTCTGCTGTTCCAAATTCTTGACCCAGAGAATCCATGAGCATAATAAAATGCCTGTTTTACACCACTAAGTTTTAGAATAGTATATTATATAGCAATAGTAAGTGAAACATGCCACAATTTCATGAAATAATTTTAGCATAGTTAATTTTAGAAGTTCCAAATTATACCATATTCAGATTTATTTATAATTACTAATTGATGAGATCGCTGGTATAATAATTATGACTGTTCTAAACTTGTAGATGTTGGTGCTTTTCTCCTTTTTATTAATTTTTAAACTAAATTGAACCAGAATATAATATCCATATATCCAAACCTTAGCCCTACTGTTACTACCCAGGTTATTTAGGAAATTTACATAAGATTTTGAAGTCTTTCCTTACTCTTCAGTTCAAATGAGAATAATAACACTTTCTCACCTGTCCTTTAAAGACTGTTTTATGGATCAAATGCAATAACATATACAAAAGCGTTCTGAAAACATAGGACACTAAACTTTTGTAACATTATTTTCAGTTCTGTAAGTCCTCATTAAAAGTCTCAACTTTTTAAAAGACATCAAAATTTCAGTAAAAAATACAGTTCAATAGATGCATTTGTCTTGGTAAAATATTTAGGAAGAAAATTAATATTTTAATATGTCTAAAATGTTAAATATTCTTAACAAAATATAAAACCCATCAAGTCTCCCTCAGCCCCTAGAAGTATTATATTGACATCTTTTGATAAACTGGTTGGTCAAGAATACTTCCTAGCAGTTAGTACCTGGGTTAATAGGAGCTTATAAAATGACCAACACAGGGAAAAGATAAGATAAACCAAGAGGTTTTATAGGTAGCTTTGTGGATTATCATGGCTTATTCTAGCTAATCTGATAATAAAATAATTCACAAAAATAACAACAAAATGAATCAGTTTATTACCACTTCAATTCATTATCTAAGACTTTGAAATATTTGGTTCCTATCAGCCATCAACTATTGTATCATCACCAGCCAAAGAACACTGTATTTTATTCCTTCTCCCATTGAATCCCTGCATCAAAAATAAAGAGAGGTGGGGTGGGGACAGAACTAAACCCAGGCCAGGCGCAATGGCTCATGCTTATAATCCTAGCAGTCTGGGAGGCCCAGTGGGAGGATCGCTCAAGGTCAGGAGTTTGAAACCACTTGAGCAAGAGCAAGACCCCTTCTCTACTAAAAATAGAAAGAAATTAAGTGACCAACTAAAAATATATAGAAAAAATTAGCCAGGCATGGTGGCGCATGCCTGTAGTCCCAGCTACTTGGGAGGCTAAGGCAGAAGGATTGCTTGAGGCCAGGAGTTTGAGGTTGCTGTGAGCTAGGCTGATGCCATGGCACTCTAGGGCCTGGGCAACAGAGTAAGACTCTGTCTCAAAAAAAAAACAACAACAATTTAAAAATGGGCAAAGCACTGGGATAGACGTTTCTCCAAAGAATATATAGAAATGGCCAATAAGCACATGAAAAAAATGTTCAACAATGCTAATCATTAGGGAAATGAAAATCAAAATTACAATGGAATACCATGGCTACTACAAAAAAAAACAAACACAGAAAATAGGAAAATAGTAAGCACTGGTGAGGATGTGGTGAAACTAGAACCCTCTGTGCACTACTGGTGGGAATGTAAAATTGGTATACCATAACTATACCATAGCTATAGC